ATACCCCCAAAGATCGTATCTCCATATCGGGGTATGTCTGGTTCTTCAACAGAGGACCTGTGTTCCACTCATCGAAGAAGCAGCTAACCCATGCACTATCCTCAACTGAGGCTGAGTACATGGCGCTCATGGCTGCAATTCAAGATGGCCTTTGGCTTGCATCTTTCTTTGAATGTCTGTGCATCCCACTCTCCCTTCCTCTTCGCCTCTTCACAGACAACGCTGGAGCCATTGCTCTCTCCAAAGAGGCCACTAATCATAATCGCACCAAGCATATCAGCCTTTGTTTCCATTTTATCCGTGCACACATTGAGGAAGGCATGTTCAAGCCAGAGTGGTTGTCGACTCACAAAAATGTCACTGACATTTTCACCAAGTGTCTTCCCCGACCTCTCTTCCTTTGTCATCAAGCGGGTCTCTCCCTTGGGTCACCATGATTGCAACAATGTGTTGTTGTGGGGGTGTGTTGAAGTTCTCCTTTGTCATTGTCATCATTTACCATAGCACTTTCCTTTTTGACTCATATCACATGTATCAGTACATATAGTCACTCCATTTCTCTCATTATACCTCAGTTGTTCCTGTCACTTCCCTGTGTACATACTATTACTCATTTTGCAGGCCACACAACACTAGTTCTCAGAAGTTAGAGGGACCAATATTACACCCGTCTGTTTCAGAGCTACTTGGGAACCCAGAACTGAGGATTCACGGTGCACGATCTTCATGTGTTTTTCTCTGATATGTAGCCTCCTTGTATTGATCTAAATGCCAGGGCTTTTTCAAACTAACTTGAAGGAGCTGCACGTTTCTAAAGAACCACGACCTCTCTTTCATCAATGACTCTAAGAACGGGCTCGTCAACATCCCTCCTCTGTCTCTGCCGCTCAATGCACACATGGACATTATGGTTATCGACGCTGAAAAGTCTTCCGTCTTCAAGTCGAGTCTCTACTCAAGTCCGTACTCCTTTTTTATATATTTCCAGTGTTCTGACGACAGGATGTCTTGTCATTTTCAAAGATGGTGATGACGCGCACCAGGACCAGTTTGTCCTCCAGTTGTTCACACTCGTGGATCAGTTTCTCAGGAGGGAGTATTTGTATCTGAAGTTCATTCGCTGGCGACTGGGCCGTTGCAGGGTATGGTACACTCTATCCCCAGCAAGACTATTGCAACAACTATCGGTGAGAATGGGACGCTCTTGAACTATTAGAGAGCTGATAATCCGGAACAGGGTAGTGTCTACTGTTTTATCATATTTACGATCCTTCGCAAAAGCGCTAAGTCAACTCGGTAGCGTTCATGGTGCACACGAACAACATCAAGCGCTCCACGTGCATGAGCAGATCTAGGAGAAGTTCTAGTTGGACTTGACGGAGGAGGCGATCAAGCATTTTCCTGGTCATATGGAGGTATTGGATTTCAGAATTGTTGCTATACTTGTCAGTTATTTGTGTGGTTTCGAATATCGATTCATGTAAGCTCATGTCACCGAGTTATTGAATTCTGTCTGAGTCTTACATAATTTGTTCGTGCTCTGAAGTGCGAGTGCTTATCACGTGCCCCCCCTGATATATCTGGCATTTCCCTTTACGAGCATGCATGCTGCGGATCAGCCGGTACGCAAATCAAGCTCCCGAACACTGACTGAACTTCCAATCCAACCGTCCTAAGTGGTACTACTAGCAATAAACGACGACAACATGATGACAGGCTTCACTCTTCTACTACATCTTGAGTAAATTGCTCCCAGAATGTCTGATTCTGCCCGTCCCACACAAGATTCAACTTTGCTATCAACTCTTCCAAGTCAAATTCGCTACCCAAGGCTGGCTCGGGTGCCCACTGCCAGATGGCGGCTGACCCTAAGCGCGCTGGTGTTGTCTCTGGATCTTGCCACATGGTCCGATATGGAGAAGATGGAGGCGGTGGGGGCAGTATGGGCCATGAGGGTGATGGGGACAGTATGGGCGATGGGGGTGACTCGTATGGGAGCAGTATGGGCGATGGGGGCAGTATGGGCGATGGGGACGGTATGGGTGATAATGGCGATGGAAGTGATTGGGGTGATGGTGACAATGGCGGAGCGAGTGGTGGTTGAAAGGGCAGCAGGGTGAGAGGCGCTTGCCAAGGCGCCTGGAAGGAAGACAATTGGACGTAAGGCTGAGGAAGAGGAAAAGAGACTTGACCTGTCGTGGGGACCGTGGGGGGGACGTAGTGGTGGAACGTGCTGACAAGGCCTTCTAATGTGTGACTCCCGTTCTCTGGGGCAGCACTAATAGTAGAGGCCATGGTAGTCATGGCGCTGGTAACATATTTTTGCCTTTGTTGCCGGGAAGCCTTAGCCGCTTCTGCGCGTTCGATATCCACCTTCCAGTGAACGAAGGGGTCACCCTGCGTGCGTACTGTTGAAGTCGTCAGCGTCTGGACTGCCCATCACAATGAGGAAGAACTTACCTGGGGGCATGAATACTATTGATGCAAGCGCTGTGCAAACGGCTACAGGACGGTCCAGCCGCTTTGCAGGGGGAACTGTGACAATGAGTTTGAGGGTTGGCAGAACTTCAATCTAAAAGGGCATTTAAACTCACCTCAAGGTGCCTATTACATATTATCAAGATATTAGAGCAGCATGGTCGAATTAAATGGGGTACAAATCTGAAGCTTCACAGGGCCTCCAGACTCGAGGACGCTTACCCATGTACCGAACCTTCGGCTGGAGCCTGAAACGGCATATTAGTGCTGCTCGCTGCTGCACGGGGTATTGATTCTTGCAGGGTTCAGAACTAAAACCGTACAGATTAGTAACAGCACCATAGCTTTCGAGTTGACTCACAGGGGTTGATGCTACGCTCATGCCCGCACAAGCAGAAGCTGTCCCGGACCCGATGTTGTATGTCACTTGAAGTTCGTGTACTACTAGTAGTGATAGACTGATAGTAGTCTTCGAGATGCTTGAATTAAAACCTGCGAACAGCTACAGTCTGAGAGTCGTGTCGATATAGACCCGAACATTAAGACATCGAGGATGCGGCACAGTGCCTGATGTAGTCGCGCACGAGTAGTAATTAATAATTCCTGGTGGTTGGTTTTTTTGCTGACTTCAACCATCGGTATCATGATGATCCCAGGGGCCCGGCTCAAGGACTTGATCAAATCTCCCACACCACTGATACCGATTTTTTAATCGCCGCACAATCACGATGATGATGAATCATTATGTAGGTACAGGGTGCTTCAGTGAAAGGTCGCGAGAGCCAGAGAGCGCCAGCGACTTGGAGGTCCGTTCTTCACCTCTCTCAGGCTGGGGCTCGAACCTGGGCGTACTACTAGATACGAAAACTAGCATTGATCGAGTAGAAATCAACTGAAACATGCATACTGCCACGTAGTACTACAACCTATGATGATACTGTAAAACCAGTAAAAATGACAGTGAGGACAATACAAAAGACTACGAGAACATCATGAGGTCACTACTGTGACAATGCGGCGAACTTGAATTACGGACTCAATTCAATCTCCGTGAGAAATCAGCGCCTCTCCATGTCACATAGCGACGACCCACACCACACCATTTCCATCTCAAAGTCGAGTCAGTCCTTGAAGACGGCCACTGTCGAGCTTTAAGCTCAAAAGCCAAGGATGGACCCGTAAACCAACATCATGCCGAAGGAGATTTCAAGATGTGTGACCATTTCCCCGATCTACCGTGACCGTCTCACTCACCTTAGCACGCTATCGAAACTCCAGCGTCTCCTTCTTCATCCTTCAAACACCCGATACCAGAAGACCCCCAAGGTGAAATGCCCAAACCTCCCACAGCGTCCTTCCTCCTGCCCCTCCACGCGCCGGGAAACTCAAAGAACACCTACTAGACAAAAAATATAAAAAAAGAGGTACAACTTCATCCACTCATTCCTATCATATCATATCTAACACAGCACATCTATCCTAAATCAAACCCAGCCGTTCGCGCTCAGCATCCGAACAAGTACAAATCTCCAGAACTGTCGAACGCTGCACGAACTGGAAGTCACGACTATAGATATGACGCAGACATGCGAAGAGTCACTGGAAGAAAACTGCGAGTGCGAATGGATCTTTTTCGATTTTGAGGCAGAGTTCTGGTTCTATAGCTCGAGCTTCAAGTACCTCTCCCTCACTAGCTGTGTAATGTGACTGGAAGGCTACTGCTGGCTGCCGGCCCTGGTGCTAATAATAAATGTCTGATGTATCTTGTTGGAGATATTAAACCTTTGCTTCTACATGGTGGTGAGCTGCGCTGATCGTGGATTTATTTATTTTGAAAATGTAGCAGGAGATAAGGCGACAGGAGGATCCGGATGTCGAATGTGGTTAAGGCCAGGCTGTCAGGGATATACACCATGACTTGCAGAGATGAATGATTGGCGCCGTTCACGCCGGGATGTGGCTGAAGGTATTACACGATGTTGGTAAGATGAAAGTCCCCGCTGAGAAGCAGTTATTGTGTGGGTGGCGGCATGGTGTAGCATGAGGTGATCTATGCCACGATTTCACTATCTGAAAGGCTCAGATCTCAGATAACATGTAATAGTACTTATACAATGTGGAGTCAATACTGATAATTATGAATCTAACTTGCGGTACTCTCTAGCGAATTTAGTAGTGTCATAGAAGCAAAATAGAAGGGTAGCGAACATGTGGTACACACCAGGCGCTATACATAATCGAGTGTATGGCCAGGGGTATTATACTCTATATACTCACCAAGGGTACATTGGAAAGGGGTCGAGGAGGGAGAGATGAGATATCGACGACTAGCTAGGCTACTGCAAGTAAGTACTACAGCAGCTGATGATGATGGCATTTGTTGTTCCCACTACCCGATTTATCATTATCATTTGTAATCTCAAGACTCAAGTTATCTCCGGAGCTTCCACGTTTGATCTTACATTTCACACAAAGGCATTGCTCAGCGCTCAGCACCCAACGACACTTGACATCCAACAGCCATGTCTACAATAGTAACTCAAGTGGACCACTGTTCCTTCTACACCACTTTTGTACCCAAAACATACCAGTGCTATGAGGCCAGATCGATATCTACAAGTCCATTGACAACACCAGCGCTCACAGAGTCAGATCAGAAGCCCAAGCACCAGAAATTACATGCCTCAAGTCTACCTCGACCAAACAGAGCCGAAAAAGCAGCATCCGCTAAAACACCCCTGCGTGCAGAAGCGGTAGGGCAGACCAAGCCAGTAGAGAGCGTCCCTACCATAGCGACAGATGTTTTGTGTGGCGATGTTCCCAAGAAGTCTCTGCGTTCCGAAGTTCTTACCCCAAGTAAGTTTCGAGAATTTAAGCATTTATCGGATAGAATTCTTACTGGGTTGAAGATGTGAAGAGGATATTGGACTATATGGCTGACCTGACTGCTGATGAAGGCCACAAGGTAACTTGGAAGTCGTCTGAGTCACTGAATACAGCCGCTGATGTGCTTACTAACAGGAATTCCATGGCGTGAGACCAGCAGAATTTAGGTTAATACACGAGGCAGGAGAAGCGGGCCGAATTTTGACGAAGCCGAGGTAAGGGTTAACAAATCTGTCTATTTCGAGGATTGCTAAAGTAGTACAGGCTTGCTTACGACTACGACAAGCACATCTTGTCCGTCAACATGCCTAGCTTTCTGCACGAAGCTTCTTTCGATTATCTCAAATGTCACCTCACACTGGCAATAGCTCAACTTCCGTATGATCCCGAGTTAGTTGAAATGACGATAAGCATGAACTATCCATTGAAGATTGGGGGTGGTAAGATCGTGAACCCAGATATGACCATCACCATCTCTGCGGTTGATGATACACCATCGGTGGTCCTGGTTCCCGCTATCGGGGAGTGCGCATTCTCGCAGAATAGGGATAGTGTCTTCAAAAGGATGGAAGATGAAATTGAAGCGCATCCGGACGCAGTTTTAGCCATCATAGTTCTCGTGCACGAAGGCATACATTACGCCTGTCCCAATCCCGATTCAATCGCATCGAAGGAGTTACGCAACGGGGAAGATGACCCTCAATCTCTCTCTCTCGACGAATTCATTAGCCAACGCACAATGCCACGATCTTTCGACACACCTATCAGGGTCGGTGAGCATGACTGGTGCCACATCCAGTCCGTTGAATACTTCGTATGGGTGAAGGGTGATCACCAAGATCGGATCGATGTTCGTAATCATGATCCTCAGTTCATGGCTCACGGGGTAAGTCACATCGATGGTTGTGTCGTGAATCTATATAACAATTTTGCAGACTTTGGCCCCCAACTTGAACATGGACGCTGTAACGGCCATGCTCGAGAGAGGTGTGCGCAAGATCAGAGATTGTCTAGTCTCCTTCTCACGGGAGCTGAGCGATGAAGTTGATTGCTCCGAGTTAGAAAATGCTGAAGTCAGGCAGCCCATTGTATGGCGCCTTGGTGCCAAGAACGTGATGAAAGCAGCTGATCTCACCACACATCAGCGCTATGATCTCTGGCATGATGAAGTCTTCAAAGGCGTCAAACGCTCGCACGACGAATCCTACGAGCCTACTGAGTCGGAGTGCAGCTCCTCGGACTCGGAAGTATCGGCTACTATCTCTTCTCAAGACAGCCTCGCTCAAGACCTTGCGGGGTTTAAGTGTACATGCAAACACCGCAGCAAGCGTGTGAAGGCTTAGCGTTGCTTCGGGTTGATCGTTGAGGAAGCCGTTCTGTTGAAGGAAATTTTTGCTCACATGCTTACATCGTCCATTGCAAGCTACTACCTGTCAAATACGCTACGATACAATCTCTTTCCATTTCGTACGGGTCCGGATATTAGCTCATCACACCTCATTACTGTACTTGTAACCGCGTTCATGATTTCACGAAGACTTTGTTTTACTGATCTGGGGTTGACGCGTCGACGCGTTGACGCGCGTCACGCCAATCACGTGCAACCTATGCGGCTATGCCTGAAATGGTTCGCACATGCAAACAACACCTAACGGGAGCAGTGTGCAGTTTTCATCTAAGTCATGCACCACATGAGTCGTCATCCCGCGGTCCCGGCTTATTGAACAATGTCTTAACTTCTTATCATTCTGCCATCATACCTAGCGCCTGACTCCATCCTGCTTTTAAACTGTCACCTGAACTCATTGACTTTGTGTTAACTCCCATGCCGATCAGATTTCGAGTGCTGCACGAGAAGGACGTGAACCTGTGCCTTTTTAGCATCATGTGTTGAACAATCAGGTTTGTGACGTGTTTTATGACTTGTTTATCTTATCCTACGCGACAATTTATGTTGGCGTCCATATATTTTGCTTTTTCCTCATCCTCTACGCCCGTATTGATGCCCTTTCACTCGTAGACCTTTCCCTAGAGACCCTTCCGCATAATGCCAGCCTTATTTCACTTCTTGGAGTGTTTGCGAAGGGAGCACATACGGTGAGTATCCCCGTCTGCCTATATGTTTCTTCTGCTAACACCTATCTCCGTGCATTGCATTCTGTGATGTGCTACACAGTTACATATGTCATCCTCCCCACTAGCACACTCATGCGATTCAGAAAGTGCTTGCGCGTGCATCCATTTTTCTCTGTCTCGCAGAATGGCACAGCCTGATGACTTCACTGATCAGCCAATGCGCACGAAGTCTTCGTAACCGATTCTGATTTCGAGCCCACCCGCTCATCTCCAAGCTTGCCCATGGGCAGCAGATTGTGTGGAATTGTCAGCATTGTCGACAGTGCGTATTTTGTTCATCAAATATATTGCCCGTCTCTGATACTTGATCTCTACCGTGTACTACTAGGTTTCTGTTCTTTCTACGAGGAATCTTTTGCAGGTGGGGGTACTGGCAGACGTGATGGTGACACACCGTCTAATTTAATATACGCCGGGAGGGAGGGTCACGGAACGGCACGCCGCGACACTCCCTTGGAAAACGCTCGAAGGACGGGTGTGACCTTCGTGATGTGTATAGAGAGTACCCCGATGACGATATGAAACGGATGCAAGCCCGCGACCGAGAGCGTAGCGGTGAGAGAGAAGGAAGACGCACCAAACGCGGTGGTATCCCGCCCCCGCAGCCTATCCTTGTGCCAGAAGCCCAGGTTACCGATTATGACAGCGCACCAGGCAACATATGCGGCACCAACGAAATCTATGAAAAATTCGTGCACCACTGACAAGATTCAGTATAGGACGAGCACGCGTCTCAATAGACTCATCTCCGGCCTGAGACTCGACCTAGTACACATAAATGGTGCCATTTTTTTCCCCAGAGGCGAGGCTGCTTACTAAGGTCGAAATCGTCGCAGTTCACACATCCTCATTCGGCATTGCCCTATATATCTTGACATTTAGCGGTATTTAATAGCGCAAGTGAGTTTTCTCGCTTGCATCTTCTCTTCATCCATCTCCCCCATTCTCTCTATTTGTCACTCGTGCTCTTTATTTTTCTTATTGTGCTACACCTCACCTTAATTCTCTTACTTCTACTATGTCTGCATCAGGGGCTGACCATCGTAACGAGTCATACACCCTCGCGCTTCCAGACATCTCTGGGGTAGTCCCTACCTCCGCAGAGGCGAGGGCTAAGCATCGTATTGCTGCGTTGGAAGACGAATTGGAAAATATGAAGCAAGAAAGAAGAGGGAAGCAGAGGTTTGTCGTCTCGCACTCCGGTCATGTCGTTTGTTCATCGAACCTCGCAGAAAAACAACCTTTTATGTTTCTCAAGGCAGGGCGATTCGCCGCATGGGCGTCCTTTACACCAACTTGGAGGACCTGATTGCCGAAAATGATCGGAGGTACGAGGAGGGCTCGGAGGGCGCCACCCCAGAGTATGTCGTTGCCTTTTTTTTTCTATACCAAACCTGACAGTATGAATCAGACACGATCGCTTGCAGCGTGGTTATATCATAGTCGCGCAGGTCCTGCCGTGGCTGCATGAAAGGCTTGGGCAACTTGACGTGGATGACTGCCAAGACATGCTGAAACAGGTCTAAGCTCTTAATTTCAAACTTTCTCTTCAACATACTGATGGCGTCATAGCTTAAGAGAGGAGCAGATGCTGCGCGCGGTGACGACACCTCCACTCTCAAGGACCTCGTTGCCACTTGGATCAATCAAGACTTTCATCCACCCTCTCTACTCAAGTCTGATGACAAGCATGCCCGTGGCTTCGTCCACGACGTTTGCGGGAAGTTACTGTGTCCTTCTGAGTGGGATTGGGATGATAACCGGTGAGCATTGGCCTTCGTCAACTATTATATGACCCTCATGGTTGCCCAGTGTGAAGGCTGGTATCCGCGACAGAACGTCGGATTATATCGTATCAGAAAATTCTTGGCCGTTGTTCTTGTACGAGAATTACGCAGTCAAACTTGACAACTTGGAGCAAGGCCTCTTCAAGTCCAAGATTCTTGTTCAGGTTAGTTGCCTCCGGTCTTATTTCACGATGACTATGTTCATCGTTATTGTGTTAGGCCTTCAAGGCTGTGTTTACATCTCCATCCTCAGCAAGAGAGGCTGATAGAGATGGCGACGGAGCTGACATACTTGAAAATAACAGGCGCGCCCGGCGACAACTAAACCAAGTCAAGGTCAAAACTTGTGTGGCCTCCATAATCAACATGAGGAAAGTCACTCCTCGCTCCCTGGCGTATGTTGTCTGCCAAGTGAGTCAATCTTATTATGTACATCCACGTCTATACAATGTGTGTCTGACAGGTTCGTTTCGCACTATCCAACATCTCATCTTGGCGTACTGTTGACGGCGACTTTGACTACGAAGTATTCTGGAGCAACATCGTGGACTTTTTCGAGAACGTCCCTGGCCCCATCACACAACAGCGGGTGAACCATCTCCTGGAATGGTGGACCAGGTATTGACTGTCTTTTCGGGTTTTTATCAGTTATCTAACGCTACTGTCTAGAAAGATTTTTGGTAAAAATCATCACGAGGACCTGACGCCAGAGGTTGTGTCACAGATGTCCGTCACGGCACTAGCAGAGCAGAGAAAGGCGCTGGAGGATGCCGCTTTCGACTCTGATTAACTGGATCCAGTTTCATCGTCGTATATACCATTTACAATAGCTGTCTTTGATGCAATCATATTGTCGCGCGTACTGCTACAAAGATGGAACACCATTTGAGGCATGAATGATTTTGATTGACAATACTAAGCATACCCCACCATCTCTTCGCAACCCCGTCACCTTGCTCTTCGGCATCCAAGGGGAAAATCATTCTTCCACACTAGATTTATTGTATCTAGCCTGCAAGCGGGACGGAGGAATAATTGTTGTCAACATTTGTTGTCTTTCTCAAGAATAACTCGTCTTTCTCTACACAGACGATTCCAGAACCACGCGTTTTCCAGTTGATTTTCACCATGCTTCCCGTCAGAAGACTTTTCCTGTTTCATTTAGAACAGGCACTAACCTGACGGCCCCGCAGTTTGGCTTTAGCATCTGCCATGTCTCTCATTCCAGTGAGATGCTCGGACCTTGCTCAAACAGAGCACACACATATATATATATTCAAATCAGTCGCGCTTGTGCCATCGGCTGATGTGTATTTTCCTGACAGTCGCGCAGTTTGGCTTTAGCATCTGCTGTATCTCTCATTCCGGTGAGATGCTCGGTTCCTGCTTAGACAGAGCACAATATATATACATATTCAAATCGGATTTTTTTTCGCGTTTGTGCTTTCGGTTGATGTGTATTTTGACATGCCAACACCTACGACAGTTCCTCCGCCTACCAAATGCATTTGTTGTGTATTAGTTTGCAGATTACGGTTTTGATCAAGAATTTTTGACTTTCGTATCGCTGAGCGGAAGATTGGGCAGCATCACAATATTCTGTTCAATACGGCAGTCTGGCAATATCTAGTTCGACAAGGGGTCTAGACCAGCGGCTTACAAATATTCATTAAAACCCTTGACTATGAAGATAGGACGTCAGAAACAAGAACCTCCGGTGTCGTAAGTTGAGTCCGCTCTTCCAATCAGCGCCGGTAGAGCATGGTTGACAAAATACCTTAACGATGGATGTGATGTGAAGTGGCCACAGGACTCCGTCCGAAGCTTATGACACACAGGTTAGTCAGTATAGGTAAATCTGTGCCACGTAGGCGTCTTGTGCCCTGAGTTGCACTGAACGAGCAGGTTGTCAAATGTGAACTTCACATTTTTCATTATGCAAGCAAATATTGACAGCAGCAATTCACAACTAGTCTGAGGAGCTGCAGCTCTCGCACCGGACCTATTAAATTACAGATTGCCACATGATGAAAGGACTTTGCATCAGTACCAGTTGGCGAATTTTACACTTACCCTCACAATTACGAACTAGCATTTTGCTTTGTTCGCTTGGGTTTCACGATCTGTTAGCAGGATAATCCAAGCAGAAGATGGTATGCCGAAGATAGGACAGTTTTGTAGCATACCTGGAAAATTCATCGTTCCCACCAGACTCCTACCCATCGGCGGGTGTGTAAGAGAGCCCCCGACATCCGACACAGACCAAACACAACCAAGCGCTATTTCTCCGACGATTTACCGAAACTTTTGGGGCTACTTACACACCCAGCCGACTGGCAAAACTTGCAGGTGGCGCGATGTTTGCCTCTGTTGATTTCGCCTGTTATCACTCAATTCGGACTGACTTGTGTGAGTGACACGCTCAGTGTGACAATACCGAGTTTATGTAGTGTTATTTAATTTTTTGTCAATGCTATTTTCATTTGCTGCAATACGCATCAGTGATGGCTTCGCCCCCCCTAAACTACGACATACCATCTATAGCTACCATACGCACCGCGGTCCACGAACGTTTCGGCTTCGTACCTTGTAATTGGCAAGTGCAGTCTGCCCAAGCACAACTGAAGAAGAGAGATGTCGTCACTTTGTCACCTACAGGCTCTGGCAAGACACTCACATTCTGGATTCCTTTGTTATTCAACGATGGCGGCATCACCATCTTGATCACTCCGCTGACGATCCTCGGAGACAAAAATGTCATCGAGCTACAAGAAGTCAATATACCTGTTGTGAATCTGTCCGCTGCAACAGCAACAGACACAATATTCGAGGTGAGATATAATTTAAAGCTCGAATCTTATGACTTACCTTGTACATCAAACAGGAAATTGCCACCCGAAAGTTTCGGGTCATAATTGTTAGCCCCGAGAGAATACTGTCAGACCGCCGCTTCGATACCTTGTGGAAGACACCGCAATTCGTCAACAAACTCTTCAGCATCACCTTTGACGAGGCGCATTGCATTAGTCAATGGGGTGGTGACTTTCGCCCTTCCTATGCTGAGCTCGGTCGACTTCGTTGGCTAGTCCCTCCGCACGTCGTGTTTCATGTAGCATCTGCCACACTGCCGCGACACGTGCTACATGATGTTAAGTCCATCCTACACATGCAGGACCATCGAACAACAGAAGCACGACGCACCAATGACCGTCCGAACATCCACTTAATGGTTATCGAGATGCTGGACCCTTTAAACAGCATGCATGACCTAAAACGCGTCCTCAAGTTCAATGGTGACCCACCTCCTCCAAAATTCATGGTATTTTGCAATGAGCGCAAAGAGACAGAGCGATTATGCGAATTTGCACGGTCAGAAGCACCACCTACTGTGGCTAAAAAGCTGGTCTGGTTTCATTCAGGCATGAGTACTGATTTTCGAGCTGAGACGATTGAGAACCTTCGGAAGGGGGAGATATGGGGTATCTTCTGCACAGATGCGGCTGGTATGGTTAGTCATTACATTAAAATATATGTGTGAAGCTCATACCTTACAGGGCCTAGACCTTCGTGACATTGCGTTAGTAATCCAGTGGAAATACACCTCGTCACTTTGCACGCTTTGGCAACGCTTAGGCAGAGCAGCGCGAGATATTTCTACAGAGGCAACTGGGATTTATCTAGTTGAGCCACAGTACATTGATTATCAGAAAGAGAAGGCAAGAGAAAGAGCCAATGCACGCACCGCAAAACGAAAACAGGTCGACGATGGTGGTGGAGGTTCCCGAAAAAAGCACAAATCAACAAGTATCGCACAAGTGCCGAGTGTTGGGAATCGGACGGAAAGTGGCGAGGATGTGAGAAATCCGCAACACGCTATTCAGAGGATTGTTCCGAAGGATCTCAATGACGAAGAGTACGAGGCTGCTGCAATGGATGCCTACATCAATGCTCGAGCTCGTGGATTTTGCCGTCGCAATGTCTCAAATGAATATTTTGACAATCCCCAGATTACTGGGCTCAGTCTGAGTATGTACCTAATGTATGTAACTGCTTCTGACGTTCATTAACAATTGTATAGATGCCAGCAGCATATCACCAGTGTGTCATCCCGACTGCGCACGGTGTATTATCAAACCTTCCCGCCTATGCTGCGACTCGTGTCACATTGGCTCCTTCATCCTTCCTGCACCCACCACACAAGCACCTAAGCAAACCCGAGCACCGAATAAACTCAAAATACCCGACTATCAAATGGGCCCTGGAGACTTTGCATTGAGAATTGAACTGCAGGAGTGGCGAAGAGAGCGGCTGATAGAGATTGGTGCAGGTGGAGATGACTTTTTCGGTGTGCAACTGATAATGGCCGATGAAATTTTAAACCGCATCGTTGATTTAGCGCATTCCCGCAAGATTGATGGAGTTTCCTCAATTCGCGATCAAGCCAGCTGGCGCTACTGTGACCGGTGGGGCTCTCAAATATTCAACATTGTCCAAAAGTACTACCTGCCATCTGCCGACAATGCACCACCCTCTATCGCAGAGAATCCAACTACCTTTGCAACCAACCTTGATATCAACGCACTTCCTTCGAACAAGCCACCACGTCAAAAAAAACCATCAACGTGCCGTGCATGTGGTCAGGCGGGGCATATTGGTGAGTTCATTGTGTTTTTGTACTCATGCAACTTCTGAACTGTATTCTAGCATCAAACCGTCTCTGTCCCAAGTATGTACCTAAGCAGCAAAGAGGTAGCAGGTTGAATGATGAAAATGTGGTACCATCTGCAGGTTAGTTATTGAAATCCTCCGCCTCTGCTTCATAGCGGTCTTCACTGGACATTGTTAGGCTAACTTTTTTCTGTTGTATCAGCTTCATCCCAACCGCAATCTGGTCTTCTATAACTCGCTTTGCACTCCTGTTTTGTGATATCATATACGACGATGTTGACTGGATATGCGATCGAAGCTTCTCAATGGTGGCTGCCATGTCTGGGTGTGTGTGCCGGATGGTTCGATTTTTCAGGTAAAACGCGTTCTCCATGATGACGTGGCAGTTGCGAAACACCTCAATCAATGGTGACTGTTTAATGATGTGGTCAATTGTGCGGTTTGGACCTGTACCTGCAAAGATGACCTGCCGCATACATGAGGACACAACACGCTGATATTATCATCAAAGTCTGCACCTTTGTGTAGAGATTGTTTCGCTCTACTAACCAATCCACAGCTCGAAACGCATTGGGTTTTCCTGTCGGATTGCAAAGTAGGTTGAGACGTATTATGCGACTGTCTCATTGTGATTAACATGTTGATTTCAGGGCGCAATGGTACAGTTTGCTCACCACAGGTCTTGGGGATATACACTTCGTAAGTTCATTGAAAACTTGTTGATTTGCGCTGCATACTTATGCTTGCCAGTTGCACAAAATATATAGATCCACGGCAGGAAAGATGCCTCGACTCGTCCAATGTCCCCAGCATTCATGGCCTGGCAGAGATCTATGTAGAGTAACTGATCCCGATTCCGAAGACATTGGTTTTCAAATTGTTTGTCCCGTTCGCTAACTGGTCTGGTGCGTAGGTCACCAAGCTTGTCTGTTGTTGCGACATACTTGTTGACAATTGCTTCAGACATCTCCACGAGCTGATCCCACTCCAAGTCCGACTTTCCGAACTTCTCTAATGTTTGCCATTCAACTGGCTGTCTCGACTGCGCTTCAAGGCGCCAGCACTCGAGAATCGAAGCATGCAGGTCATGGTGTATGACATCATGCATGCGTCTAAAACCAGGTTTCGTGGATATGCGCCCTGTTTCTTGTGGTCGCAAGATGCCTACATGTTGGAACATGCTGTTCGGGTCATCTCGGCCTTCTTTAGGTTGAAGGTACGTCCTCCATATTGCATCCGCGCATGCCATTTTGTAGTGAAACAACCCTGGCAGGAAGATGATGTACTGGAATCGGTTTTTTGGCGTGCTCTCGATTCTCCGTGTATCACGAACTGTGTCGAGCCGTTCTTTGGTGAGTAAGTCGCCGTGAATAAGCAAGACATGTTCTGACATGTCAACGTCTCCTGCAGATTCGAACTCTTTATCACTAGGATCTCCGATTCCTCCTTGTCGCAGCAAATTCTCCATCACCTCCATATTCCCATCAGCAGTCGATTGCTTGATCCTCATGGAACGAAAAGGTATTTGATCCGTCTTTGTGACAGGTATCCGTAGGACTGATTCTGGCTCTCCAAGTTTGTCCACAAATGATCCAAAATACCGGCCATGCTGGACAAGAATGTCTCGTACATGCCATGCAAAGGCAGCAAGTCGTGGGCTGAGACGCTCGCCTTGTTTGGGCCTACTGTAAGTGTCATTGATGTGATGTTGTAGCATGTCGAATTCATCGATTTCGACAGCTGTTGTTGACGGTGTAGGGTTACGAGAATCGGCAGCCCATAATGCTGCTGAGCAGCGTAGTGCCTCGGGATTGTCAATGCCTACAAGTGGCAATGAGGTAGCGGATGTTGCACTAACAAAGGTCGAACGATGCCCAATGGTAGGTTCCGAAGTTTTGAAGTCAATGTCAAAGTTGTCATATGCAAAGGACACTTTCAGTGATCGAATACCTTGCTTGATGTTAGCTGCAATTTCTTTGGACATCGAGTGTACTGCATTGTGTATTGATGTGACACTGATAGATAATCCCGCATGTGCCAGGACATCAATCACTTTCTGCGGAACACCTGTCGAGTGGAAGAATATGCCGAGGAGACCCTGTAAGTAATTGCATCTTTCGTTTGAGCTCTGCAAAATTATACTGATGCACACGACAGTTTTCTGTACAGGTGTGAGTCCACGAGCTTGAGTGCAACGTGATAGAACTGACGATTATCTGCAGTGTTGTATTTCTGGCCTCTACTTGTACATGGGTCCGATGCTCGCGTGAGTCGTTCCTTTGTTCGTCGCTTGTATCTGACGTAGATTCATCTACACCATTGTCACCCCCAATCTCTCCAAGGTCACGCTCCGCATCTGCGAACACTTCGGTCATCACCATCTCATCAACCATGGCTTTCCCTGTGCTCCGTCGCTCATCAGATGCCTCGAGAAGTGAGTAGATTAATCTCCAAATAGTTGGTGCATGCCTTCTGATCTTTTCCGCGACTCGAGGCATAAATGAATGTTCTAACTGCTCCGTCGTTGCAGATTTGGCACGGAAATGCAATCCGTTCTCCTTCCGCACCAGGTCTTTGATCTCAGCGCCAAGCACTTCCCTCACGACTTCATATGCCCACAAAGATATTGATGTGCGAGTGTCAGGATACTGATAAAGGTGAGTGCAAATCTCCGAGCCTTGTTGCACTAAATTTTTCTTTGCTGAGTGGTGAATCTTGTCCGTGCTTTGGAGCAGTTGTTTTATGAAGTCTGAAATGGTCATCCTGTTGACCTCCAGGCACTGTAGTACATTGTTGAGCTTTTGTGATAGTTGGTAGTCCATCAGTTGAGGATTTGGGTGTCAGTATGTAGCATTATATTCCACAGCATGGGTATGTAGACGAGTACTTCTCAATTGACACGCCTTTCGAGCATGGCGAACGTCGACAATGAATTCTCACGAGCATTGACAAAAAATTAAATAACACTACATAAACTCGGTATTGTCACACTGAGCGTGTCACTCACACAAGTCAGTCCGAATTGAGTGATAACAGGCGAAATCAACAGAGGCAAACATCGCGCCACCTGCAAGTTTTGCCAGTCGGCTGGGTGTGTAAGTAGCCCCAAAAGTTTCGGTAAATCGTCGGAGAAATAGCGCTTGGTTGTGTTTGGTCTGTGTCGGATGTCGGGGGCTCTCTTACACACCCGCCGATGGGTAGGAGTCTGGGACCCAGCCTGAGACGGATGACGAATCGAGGGACTGGTCAACAATGTCATGAGACAGTGAGCACGACATCACAGGGTTCAATTATCCACCAAAAAATGCCAGGTGCGCGAAGCAGTCTGTATTCTGGAGTTTAATGGAGCAAGAACGGTGTCGAAGCTAGAATAGTTGTAGATTGAGAGACGTGCTTCGCCAAAAACGACGAGGAACTTGAACCTGGAAAACCACCAGCCCAAATGGTTTGATAACAGAGGATTAGCGTGGGTATCACTGTCAGGGACATAGTCCAACGCACCTTTATTTCCAGAAATACGATTTCTGTGTTCAGAGCACTGACTAGGATCTCCGGGGAATAGAGACGAACACTATAGCGTCGAGTCGCGTCCAAAATCAAACGCGACTGTCTCATCGTCGATTTACCTGTTCACTCATCAGCCACAGCGTTCAACAACATTCAACACATCATGATTTCGTTGCCGTCCATGTCGGGGTCGTTCATATGCATGAGCAAGTTGTAGGTGCAGCTTGGATGACTCCAACGAGGTAAAGGAGAATGAAAAGTAATAAGCGCATTATTGCATGTTGCTTCGACATACGGCCTGACAGGCATAGTAAGGAGAGCGGAATGTCGAGAGTGATGAGCAAGTTGATGGCATCGGCCTGTAGGCTGTCAACATTGCCCCCGGGTTATAAGGATGCCGGTGTTGAAGTTTGTCCCGTGCGTAGTACGTACTAATACTGATTTGGAAATCAAAATCTACTTTGATCACCGGGGGCACTGTTTCACCCCAAATATCTATCTCCATCATGCTGATTTTGGCGATAGAAGCGCAGCGCTGAACGGTGGTATATCTAGCACGAATGCTATCGTCATACACCACTAACTTTGTTTTGCCCTTTTTTTGTGATTTTGTTCGTGTTTTTTTGCCTTTCCTCACTCGCTCAGGCTCACACCCATCTCACTAGAACATGACCTTCGTCTCAAATGATCCCAGTTGGTGGCCGAGAATCAATTTGAGTGTTTTTTGCAGCTATTGGACAGGTTCGTCACATCAGGATGTCTTGATCCAACGTTGACATGCGGTTTCCCAGTTGCCGCGGGCACCGTGGTGATATACGATTGGGGTAAGCAGGACAGTGTTCGAAAATCACCGATATTCTCATGATATTTCCAGCCTTAACTCTCGAACAAGAGGTACGTCCATGTTGTCGCCGGAGCAGCCAACTCGCTAAGAACGGTGTCATAGATTGAACTGATCTGGGTGAGTGACAAGAGTCCCGTATCAGAAAAAACAAGGGAATACAATGGATTCGCGACAGAGGCAACGTTGGTCTCTCATGACTGTGCTGTATTTGGTTGTTCGTATCTCGTGTTGTACTATACCGTGGTTTACGGTTGTGCTGACTCCAAAATGCTTCAGGTACGCTATATTGGAATACCGTATTTTGTGTATGTGTCGACGCCAACGAATCCAAATTGGTATCGTGCTAATAGCTCATCTCTGACAATTAGTGTCAAAGTTCTGCGTATGTCTCACATGTGCTGTGTTCGATTATTCTGACCGACGGCACACAGAAAATGTGATATGGGTCTCGCTGACGGATACAGTAAGTATTCCACAACCATGTTATTCACATGTAATGAATACACTCATTTGTAGGGGTGAGTGAGATTTTGACCGTCATGATTGAGCTTGGCTCAACATATTCACTCAATAGGTGTAAGTCGGAACGTTTGACTATCATAAAGGTCGTTCACTAATTACGTGGTTCAGGCAATATTACGGACTACGCAGCGACTTGGATAAATCCGGTCGTAGCTGCCATGTTGGGCAGTGAGTCACCCAGCTACAGTACCTCTGTGATATCGACTCGACTGAAACCTCATGCAAGTCATTATGATTGCTCGCTTACATGCCATGTATCAGGGATCTAGAATGATGTTCATCTTCCTTGTTATTACCTTTCTGGCTGGCATCATCGCCTGCGGAGTAATCTTGGCAATAAAACTCAAGTATGTTGTAGGGGGTAAGCTTTGTTTGTTGACTTGAAGAGCAGACCTCATGGGACAAACGCCAGAGGAGCTGATACTCTCTGACACGTATATATGCGGTTATGTATATGACGAGGATGAGCAGCTTTGGTTTTCAATGGTTTGGATGATCTACACTGTTTGGGAGGTCCTCGCACTGTGTCTTGCAGTCTGGGTTGCTGTGAAACACTTCTGTGACCTGCGACGGCTCAGCCGATCGACAGGATCGACCATTGGGGACTGTTTCAGAGTGCTGATACAATCTCACGTTCTCTATTTTGCAAGGCGAGCTTGTAATGTGAACGCGGTTATATTATTCTGCTCAAGTTCCGCACATATTAGCGTTCTTGGTGTCTCTTGCCTCCAGCTTGCTGCTTTCTCTCCGAAAATCAGGGTGCGCCGTTCTGTCGCCGACATCTACGTGTAACCACTGCTCATCATTTCTGTAGGATTCACATTCTATTGGAGCTCAGATACTTGAAGGTGCTCTTGAAATTTTATTGTTCATGCAGATGTTTGTGTTGGGACCACGCCTCATCCTTAGCGTTCGAGAATATCACGCAAAACTCGTGGCAGGCTCCGACGCAGAAACTAGCATGAACTCGATTGTCTTCCAGGAGCGTGTACATGTATCGACTAGCAGTACTGTGTAGGGAAATGCTTGCTGAGTGGTCTGAAGGGAGGAGAAATGTGATTGAGGATTCGTCGTGGTATTTATTGAACATATAGGGTGTTGAAGTATTTATTGTTGTATCACAACTGGAACGAAGTACCCGCGCTTGAACCAAGTGGTAAGCTGAAATCATCTGGAACGTCTAGCAACCAACCTGGTCCTTGATAGACAATATTCAATGAGAATCAGTGAAAGTGCTCCAACAACTGATTCTGCGCGTTTGAGGAGTTCCACTGTCTGAACATATAGATGAAGTGACTGCGAAGCGTGAAGCCAGATGGCTGATAACCTATTGGTGCTTAGATGCAATTTCCTCCATCCGATGGGTTACCGAGAATGAAAGGAATGAATTGGCTCGACTGTACGTCCATCAGCCTGGGACACGTGACTGTCAAATTGAACCCTCGTAACAGAACTTGATATAATCCAGGATTCCAGATGCCTAGATCATTCTTATACAACGTTAACCACTTTGCTCGCTTTTCGTGTCGTTCTTTTACAGTTCTCGAAAATTGACTGCACGCTGTCGCCCCAGGGAGGGTATCCCAACTTTTGGCATGTTGGAAGTTACCCGATCGCACGCCTGCTTGCTGCAATAAATCAATTTCTTTAGGTTGTCCAAAGTCCACTCGTCTTCGAAATGGATTTCATGGCCTCAACCTGATACAGACCCTCAGCAAGTACTGGGCTGCATCCACGACTTACAAGCAAGTGCCCGCAGCTAGCATAAATAAAGCTACCATCCCCATAATGCATAGCATCAGTCTCACGCTCCACGATTCTACCTGTTCAGTGACGAGGGTGGTTTCCAGACACTGGTTGTTCTGTGAAGGAGTTAAGCGGCTGCATGGGGATCCGAGGGCGCGACTGACATAGGTGCGAAAGTGGGAAAGGGAGGAAGGACGATGCCGGTGGCTAAGGTTCATGTGCCCCACCTTGATGGTCACTGAAAACGAGGGTGTCATTGTAGGACATGTAAACAGCCATGGTATGAATCATTCTTGTACAGCAACAGGTTATTTCCAATGTAACGCCATTTGAAATCGACGTTATCCCGCACGGACCTTGCGAAGTTGTGAGAAATGAAATTGCGTACTGAACTAATGTCACCCCAACTATTTTCTCTACAGATTTGAATATGATAGATGTCACTCTCCATTTACTATCGTAGGGATGACTACTGCATAAAAGCGTGGGGAGACCAGTCGGATTGCGTCACTCGACTTTAGCAACATCAGAAAGGAACGCGGCGACAGAATCTCCCTCCATCTGCTGATTAACGGGGAGACCGTGTGTGTGGTACGTAGCACTTGGGATCTCTCCAAACTGCATGTATGGGATCAAACGCATGCCTCGAGCGCTCTTGCGCACACCTCATAACACACTCGCCTGCTGCGATTACAGCATCCAATGGTATCCACGACTGATCTCCGCAGTTTCAAATATAACATCATCCGAGTCCTCAGGCCTCAATCATTGGGTGCGTACGGTGCACATACTTCTAGTACGAATTATGAACTTGCAGATGACAGCCTTACTACTTCCGCCTTCCCCGATCAAATTGGACCGAGGCTATCCATGAAATGTTTGCTACTATGATGTTAACATCATGGTTGTGATGTTTCGAGTCCAAGCTAATTGGATTTACTGTGCTGAAAAGGTACCGATGCAATTCCTCAAGGCATATGATTGGCAGATGACCTGTTGACATTTAAAGAGCCTGAGAACTGGACGAGATACCCGCACCCTGATCCTCGATACACCCCCAAGACTCCATCTGCCATGGCTTCGAGAGGCATACCACTGGATAATGCTGCTATATTCTCAATCATGATGGAGGGAATTTTATATGGTGAGTATCACGATGGATTTGTCCGTCCCATACTCACTAAGCTTGGGTTATTCAGGCTTTTCAGTCCTCATGTTTATTGGTACCATGTGGGCATTGACCTACAGACGTCGTACGAACGAGATTCATCGCCCAAATGTTGTGGTGGCATGCATGCTGCTGATCCTAAGTACTGCAGTAAGTTTCTCCCCTTTTGCATCTGGCGTCATCCAGTACTCAAGCCCCACAAGCACATGGTAGTAGACTTCATTCGTGTTGAACAGGGACTGGTTACCTATCGCAATACATTCCCAGGGGGGCCAGCGGCATTCTTTGCAGATGTTGCCCAAACCACATTTGTGGTCAAGAATATAATATATAACTTGCAGACAATGCTTGGTGATGGGATCGTGGTGGGTTCAATTTTTATCTGCCAGATTGCAACCCTCTTGCTTATGAAATGTCTTTTCCGGCCAAAGATTTATCGCTGTTACGTCGTCTGGCAATCTGTGTGGGTCATTATTGTACCGAGTTTGTTGTGGTTCGGTATGGCAGGTTAGGTCGCAATCATGCTCAGGAAGTCGTCCCTCTAATGTTCCATTCAAGTATCCGGCTTTGGTGCAGTCTACAGTTTGTCAAAAGCAACTAGCGAGGCTGAAGACATCTTCGCCAAATCAACTGGTCAATGGATCACGGTTTTCTATGCCATGACACTTGCAAGTAATTTATCGGCTTCAGGTGAGCATACTTTTTACCTGAGTAATCGAGGGCCGAGACCAATTTGTTCAGGATTTCTGGCATATCGGATCTGGAGGATGGAATGCGATGTCTCCGCACTTCGCGCTACGAAGAGCTTTAGTATGATGCCGATAGTGCGCGTGCTTGCAGATTCCGCTATTCTGTACTCTGTGACGCTCCTGTCGGCATTGGTATGTTTCGTCGAAGCGAACAATGGACAATATGTTGTAGTAGACATGGTAATTTCCACTGTCAACTTTCTTTTATCAAAAATAACTAAGCTTTGGCTCCCTAGATTACGCCGATCATCTCTATTACCTTCTACATGATTATTATCCGAATAGCTATGAGGAAAACAACGCCAAGTCACAGTTCCCTCTCGACTATCAGGATGGCCAACGAGACAGCACGAGAAACCCAGCAGCGATATAATGGGCGTACGCCAGTGGAGGTGCACATAACGCAGATCACCCACCAGGACGATAACGATACCTGCAAACCGGCATACTGAAAAACCAGGATTACCCATCGACATTTCAACCTTGGCGGAGTCCGTGGATGGGGTATCGTACTGCTTCTGATTGTTATCTGCATTTAATTTGTCGTATTTGATTATATGTTTCACCTGCCAGGTTGTGCCAGGCTATCATCGATCATGATGGATGATTGTTGAAGATGATTTATGTGCACGTGTTCGGTTCGACCTCTTAGATTCTGTGACCTAAGTCGTTTACAGCACACCTCTCACCTTACTGTTCTATCTGCCAGAACTGTGGCGACGCATGACCTGGGTGGATCAGTATACGCACCAGCTCAGACCGCAATTCATAGTTGACTAAGGACAGCGGAAAATCTGCCGACATTACACCTCACCATCCACTGATCCCTGTGTCACTTGTATCTGTGCATTTTGATACCCTCAGATGTGCGCCGTACCTAGTTTTGCAGGCTACGTGTCGCCTCCACCCCATCAAGCTTCCTTGACCCCATTCACGCACTCATCTACATCACACTCATAGTTTCTGCACTGTTTTACGAGACCTGGATCGAGATGTCCGGCAGTAGCCCATGTGAAATTGTCAAACAGCTCAAGAACCAACATATCGTTCTGGTTCATTATTGTGAGGGTTCCACACTGTAGATAGTGATTCCAATCAAAATCATTGGAAAAAGTACTGATGCTGAAATTTTCATTGGAACTTCTACTGAAATGGCAGGTAGTTAATTTCATTGGAGTGCTGAATCCAATTCAGCACTAAATTTCAGCACCATTTTCCTTTTTTTTTTTTTTTTGGACAAGCGATATATAATTGCAGCAACCAATGAAAGTCTAGCTCTACAAAAATGCGCTATAGCGGGGTTCGGGGAACTCCGGTCCGAGGGAAAATGCACTTGCGCACTCCCATTTTCATGGGGTGTGTGGGACTCTTGGACTACCTGGGGGCCTCGTTCGCAGAGGGCCTGGGTGGTTTGATACCCACTAAAACCTTGAGGGCGGTGGCCCAGTTTTTTGGTATTGGTTTGTCGGATGTTATTACTTTTTTCCACGTGGCGGTCACCAATTTTTCGAAGGATGGTGTACGGTCTATTTTCTTCGCTGTGATTCTATCTATTTGCAGTCGTTTGTTTATCGTTGTTGTCCAGTGTTTCGTTATCGCTTGCACCGTAGGTGAGGCACCATTTATTGTTCTGTCGCATCGCAGTATCCAGATTAGGTATGCTGACTCTGATATTAGTATTCTCAGCAGCCTCGAGGCCCCTTTCGTGAAGGGTCTACTTTCTGGGTTTGTTTGCTCGTTGTCATTCGGTGTCGGTGGTCGTGCGCTAATGTTTCCGCATCCAAGGATTGTGCCGATGCCAATACGGGGCCGAGCGCCGAAACTTTCGGGCCACATCTCCTTCGCTAGGGACCATATTGTTGTACGTGCGTTATTGTTACATTCTAAAAGTATGTGCTCCATTGACTCCGTGTCGATGTTGCAGTGTGTACATCTGGCACGTTGTTCATATGTGGGGATATGTAGCCAATAGTCGCCGATTCTGTAAGCGCCGTGCATCGCTTTGAATAGGAATTGTCTCACTTTTTTATTCAGGTCTTTGTTCCGGCATCCATTCCAGATGTTCATGTCGTTTTCAAGGTGCCCTGTCAACTCTTTGATGGTGTGTCTGGTTATTTCGAGGTTTATTGCCGTTTTGCGCCTTTGTGTTGAGTCCTTTCGTTCTCTTATACCTTTGTACGCTAGGGCTTGTGTGATGGCTGATAATTTCGCTCCTTGTAGATTAAACTCATTGGGGACCGATAGGTCTATGGGGTCGGTGGTCTGTTTGTCAGCTCCCTCTCTCGCGAGTTGGTCTGCCCGTTCATTTCCAATCTGGCCGCTGTGTCCCTTCACCCATATGAAGGAAGTTTGTGCTGAGCGTCTTCGTAAATGGTATGCTGTTGCTTTGATGTATTTACTGTTTGCTATACCTATCCACCCAGTGTCTTCCCATCTCGTTAGGTGTTTGGTTAGGCCGTCTATGGCGTATTTAGAATCTGTTATGAAGGTGATTGGTACGTATGGGTCAGTGTTTTGTAGGGCTATGAGGATTGCTGATAATTCTGCGACTTGGTTAGATTGTTCTTCTCCGGGGATTCGGGCTGCGCGGTTTTTGGGATGGTCTTCTGCTATCCAGATGCCACTGCCGCATCTTGTGTCACATTTCCCGTTTTCTAGGCAGGATCCATCGGTATATATCGTCAGTCTCTCGTTGAGGAGGTTGAGTCCTCTCGTCGGGGTATGCAGTCAGTGGGCTGGGGTGAGTGAGGTGCGGTTAGGGTCGGTGAAGATTCTGAAACAGTCAGAGATACATGACCTTACAGTGGTGGTTGGGTCAAATAGGATTTCTCCATGACGTTGTTCGTGGGCTTGTTGGTTCTTTTCTTTCCGCTGGTGGGTGAGTGAGAGCCCGTCTTTCTTTGGTTTTGATTTTGTGTTGAATTTTGGGGTGATCCGGTGCAGGATTATGTTGGCTGTACGTGCGCAGTTTTGTGGGTTAGTGCACCCCTTATTCCGGTCTCTGTTACAGGAGGAGCAGTTGCAGTTTTTGGTGGGGAAGTGCTGGTTGTCTGGTGCGTCTCAGGCGTTTGCTAACTTTGATCAGGTGTTTGATGTTTTCTGATCTATGCGTTTCATTTAGGCATCTGTTTTTGACTTTATTATAGGTGTTTTTAGGTGCGCCTAGGTGGTACCATGCCAGGAGGCTCTTTTTGAGTTCTTTTGAGATTTTGATTGGGGTGAAGCTGATGTTGAATTGTTTGATGGTCTTCAGGAGTACTCGGGCTTCTTGGGGTAGTGAGCTCGTCTTTTTTCCTCTCATGGGGGGGTCCAGGAGGTCAGGAAAGGGTTAACGTTTTTTATAGGTTTCCCGTTCGGACTTATGTTGTGTAGGACTAGGTCCATTATTGACGCCCATGTTGGTCTGGATGGGGACAGGTCTAGGTAGGCTTTTACCCAGGTAATTTCTATGGCTTCATTCCTTGTTCTGATGTCAAGTAGGTTGATACCGCCCTCTTCTTTCGGGCGGTATAGCTGTTCTAAGCTGATGGGTGGGGACTTTGTGTCGTCCCATAGGAATTTTCGTGTCATTTTGGTGAGTGCCTGTTCTATGTTCTTCGGCATTCCTTGAGCTTTCGTTAGGAATTGTGTCATGCCGCCGACAACCATCTGGATGATCAGTCTTTTTCCATCTAAGGTAGGGTGTCCGGCTTTCCATCTTTTGAGTGAGGAGTTAACTTTTTCTAGTATGGGCTCCCATGGTGTCGCGTTATTTGTTTTATTACCGATCCATGCACCCAGTGACCTGATGGGGTGTCCATCAAGGGCAATTTTGATGGTGGGGTCTAGGGGGGTGTCTCGTACGTTTAGTTTCCTAGTTGATATAACTTGGTCTCGGTGGGTCTTTGTTCCGATTGGAACTATTTCTGTTTTTTCTAGGTTAAACTTTGTGCCGGACGCTGAACACCATTTCGACAGGATGTCCTCGAGGTCGCCATAGCTGTCTGTTTCATTCAGGAAGATGGTGGTATCATCTGTGTAGAGGTTCACTATGATTCTATCTGTGATTCCTGGTATGTGGTATCCGTTTAGTTTTTTGGAGTTCCTTAAGGTACATGCTAATGGCTCAATGGCTAGGTCAAACAGGAGGCAGGAGAGGGGGTCTCCTTGTCGGACCCCTCTGGATACTTTGAAAGGGGTGCTCAACACACCGTTTATCGCCACTCTCATGTAGGTGTTTTCATAGAGGGCTTTGACAGTGTTTATGAAGATTTGTGGTAATTTGAAGGTCTCTAGTGTATCGAAGAGGTAGTCATGTTTTATTTTGTCGTACGCCTTTTCCTGATCCAGGGCTATTAGAACGCTGTTCTCCTCGGTGACGTCGGCATAGTCAATCATCATTCGGGCCAGTCTTATTGGGTCGAAAATGGAACATTGGGGGATAAAGCCACTTTGGTCAGGGTGAATTAGTGAGTGGGATTCCCGTGCTAACTGCATTGCTAGTGCCTTGGTGAGTAGTTTATAGTCGGTGTTTAGTAGCGTTATCGGCCGGTAATTTTCTATTTCAGTGCGTTCTTTCTTTTTATAGATCGGGCACATCCAGCCCAGGGTAAAATTTGTCCCTTCGTCAACACCATGTCGCTGGATGTCGTTTATTACGAAAGTGAGTGTCTTAATAATGTCGAAACTGGACTCTTCTTCTTTTTGGTCACTAAGGTGTTTTTCATGCAGTGTCTTCCATACCTCACATGGTATCCCATCTATGCCTGCTGCGCTCCCCGCTTTCGAAGCGTATAGAGCTTCCTGTATGTGATGTTCTCGTAGGAGACCGTGAAGGGGTGAGTTATCGTTGTTAGTTTTTGTTTTTGTGGGATTTCTTTCATTATTTCTTTTTTTGTTTCCTCGCACTGTTCTTCCATGTGTTGTTCTAGATTATCGTTTTGGATATTCTCATGGTGGTTGCGCGCGATTTCGGCCATTTTGTCCGAACGGGCGCAGAGTCTGTTTGAGGCTGGGTCTCTTAGTCTTTCTATTATATCTCTAGGCTTTTTGCTGCTGTTTATCTTTGACCAGTATTTACTCATTGTTTCGCCTGTTGCGGCCCATTTCGCCTGAGATTTTAACTGTTTGTGTCTGAATTTTTTATTTTCTAGGTGGTTTATCTTGCACTCGATCCAGGCTTTGTGTCTCCTGGTGTCTTCATTTGTGTCAATGTCGTCCTTTTTTAACGTTTTTTCTAGGTCGCTTTCAAGTCGTTCAATATGGGATCTTATTTTGTTTAGGTGCTCTTTCGCAGCTTTCCTCGCTTCTTGGCTTATTTGGTTCTTGAACGACTCCCAGAAGTATTGGGGGTTTTCTGTTTCGTGCCTTGGATATTGGGGGTAGAGGATCTTTTGTTGTGTTAATTTGCCGAGGGTACTGATTGTTTTGATAAGTTTTTTGTCGTGCAGTAAACTGGTGGGCCAAGTCCATCGTCCTTTCCCGATATAAGGAGCATTTACAGGTGCGTATCTTACTGAGACCATTCGATGGTCCAATGGGATCGCTGATGTACATGATTCCCAGTTGTGTGTGTTGCGCTCATGTGAGGGTGCCGTATATATGCGGTCGAGCCTTGATAGTGAGTTTGTATTGCTATTATATGTGAAGAGTCTTGACGTTGGGTTGTTCAGTCTCCAAGTGTCTTGGACGTTCAGTTGGTGCCGTAGGTCTCGTAGAGCTTCAGTGGCATTGTCGTTGTCTGGTCGTGCTGGGGCTCGGTCTAGGATATCTTCTGTTATATTGAAGTCTCCCATCATGAAATCTGGGCTTGGTAAGTTTTTCTCATACCATATTTGTGATATTTTACCCCAGAATTTGGGGTGTTGCGCGTGGTTGTTTGGGGCGTAGATGTTTAGTATTAACAGGTTCTCCTGGTTGTGCCATTTCGTTTTCAGGACCATGGCTCTGCCTGGTATTATTTCGATGGTCTCTAAGTCTACAGTATTGGCTATCTCTCTGTTTAGGACGAAGGCGATCCCTGCGGAGCTTCCTGGGCGGTGCAGGTCTCTGGAGTTGATGATTTTGATGCGTCGGGAGTATATGCTGTCTATTTGGGACTCATGTTCGGCTGTGAGGTGCATTTCTTGGACGCATAGTATACCGATCTTGTTTTCTTTCACTACTTGTGAGACAGCTGCCCATTTGGAGATCTCGCTGTTTCCTAACTGTGGTGATGCGCATCCTCTCATGTTGAGGGACGCAAGAAGAATGTTTGCTCTTGTTTTCTTTGTCTTTCGGGGGCGAGTGGTTTCACTCTGGGGTTCGTTTGCCTGGTGTGGCGTTAGCACCATTTTCCAATGAATCCAATTCAGCACTACTTTCAGCACTATTTGCCAATGAATCCAATTCTCCAGCTTCATCTGGCTCAGGAAGAGTCAGAGGCACAACCTTATTGTGTTAGGCTATGCTGGTCTGAGCATTAGCTTGGGGAGGGACACAAGCAGGTGGAGCCGCTGGGAGGGTGGGAAACCTTATGAATTCAGTCGTGTGCTGACTCTTGTGCCACACAAATCAAGAATCAAGATAAGCATCTTAATACATTCTAACAATTACGATAACATTGGAATATGCTCAGGCTGCAGTAATGGTCTGCAGAGCTAAATAAGAGGGAGTGGCGGGTGCGAGCAAGGGACAAGAAATAACCAACAAGAGTCTGAAGGATGCCTAGCTCGTTGTAGGTACTAGTAGGTCGGAAAATGTAGGACAAGGGTGGTATATATTGGTGTTTGTAGTCAATACTATCAAAGATCGCATGGCTTAGTGGTAGTGATGATATGCATGTTGGGGCTAATGGAGTAGGTCATTGGTTCAATTCCTGCCATTGGTAAATTCCTCAATGTGTCATACACTACATCATCTTATGTGCCACATGTCACGGTGGTTAGTGATCATATGTTCAATCATGTCATATAACACATATCACAGTGGTTAGTGACATTTATTTTTGTCATTGTCGAGCAGAATCTCAGCACATTATTTCAGAGTAAAAATTCAGCGCAATATCACTGAAATTTCAGAGTAAAAATCGGAACTTTCAGCACCTTGTACTGTGAATTTCATTACATTATCACCTGGTTTTACCTAATGAATTTCATTGGATTTACTACCCAGTGTCCATGTCATTCCCACTGCTGTTGGGTTGAGTTTGGATGACTTGTCACACATGTCATGCATTCATGCCTGGCCAGGGCGTAACTGAGCTTGCGGAACAAAACGCAGCCTGGGCAAAGCCGCTGCTCTCTCGAGTTATGATATTTTAGTGTGCTGCTGGCACCACTTGCAATCACATACATCTATCAATTACATGGCGCTCGATAGCGCTGCTGGTGAACACTACTTTGTGCTACATGATGTTACTCGAAGATAGTACATACATTGGAAGTTCTGAGTTTCTATGCTTGTTGGACTTGCAGCTCAAAACAGAGAGCACGAACATGATTAATTATACGCGACAATGCGTCAGTACCTCCTCTACGTAGTCCGCCATTATCCTATGGGTCTGTTTGGAAGGATGCCTAGGAAAGCGTTATTTCAGATCGTGTGGAACATTCATACTGAACTTACCCGTCGAACCAACAGAAGTAATGCTCCGGATCATCGCAAGCGTTGCCATCAATATAGCAGGCACCCGGGTTTGTGAACCCAAACGCCTCATAGCCCGGATCAGATCCAAGCACCCCGTCCCAGATGGTCGCAAAATTGACAAAAGCCAGATTCAATGGAGGATCCTGAGAGCGGAATGCGACGAGACCATCAAAAATTGATTGAAGCCACGCCTCCCCCTGTGCGTTATGAGTCCCGCGACCGTATGCATCGGTAATGAGAAAATTGCGGGCATTTGTGGGCGGAGAAGCAAGAAGGGCGATCTGGCCTAACATATCTTGCGCTGCTTCAGGCAGGTGGTTTCCGTCCACTGGCATAGTGTCAATCATCGTTAATTTAGATTCATGATTTCAAGTCAGTACCAAAGGAGTCCCCCCAGTCGCTACGGCACGGAGTTAGATCGGGACTGCATACGTGCTGTAACACTCACTTAATTCCAAAGAATACCGCGTACAGAGTGGTCTCAGGATCCAAGTTATTGGATTGGTTTATGAATGTTGTTGCTAAAGTGACAATTATTCAAAAAAAGCTTCACCGTGAGTAAGAAGGGAGCGCACTCTGCATGATAAAGTCCCGAGGATATGGGTTGCTAGGCCATAAGCTGATGTTTGTAACAGCGCTTGACCACTACAAAACGTCAAGATAAGAATTGATTGTGAGATAGAACATACGGCATAATCCATGACTCGGGCGCCAATGCCACTGGCAATGCCCTCGACCCAAACGGGTCCGTTGGTCGAACGACCGCCTGCGAAGACATCTGGTGGTATCATCACGGCAGGTTCGAGAGGGCTACCATCATGTCTCCCGCCATCGGTGAATGAGTCCTGCGTGATTTCGTCAGCCAAGCTGAAACCTCGAGGGGAAAACACCTACGAACGCCAAACGCAACGATGGTCTTATATTGAGGAAGATTTAAACCAGCGTTGAAGTCCGACGCTGTGCCAGACAGGGGACCGCATTGAGGACTAACAGCAAGATGAATACCATCATTGGGATCTTGCCGTCCCAAGACAGAGCCAAGCTTTAGCTTCCACCAATATCACCGGCAAGATGAGAAAATGAAATCGCATGGAAAGCCGGCGAGCCAGACTATGAAAGCCTATGACTACCTCTGGAGAACAATCCATCATAACTTGAAGACTTTGGTCCAAGAGACGCTCATGACAGGAAAACATTGCACTGAAACCGCGGAAAGGAGACGGATGGAAAAGAAGGCTCACCCATCGAAGGTACAAGGAAGGTCAAAAGGATCCGAAATAAGAGCCCCAACACCCCATAAAGTGGAGATATTGGGAACAGCAGGACACTGTACATTGTCTGTTGTGCTGCTTGGCAGCGGTAGTTGAGCCTGTAAGGATGGTGGGAGTATTGATGAAGAGACGCCGTCTGACAACAAATGATGCTTCAAGTTGGATGCTGATTGGATTCGGTTGTAATGAGGTGCGTTTTTAGCGCTGCCAACTTCCGTTTTAGAACTCAACATGACCGACGCTGTCTCACATATTAGGGAGTTACTTCACTGTTCAGTGAGAACTTCTGCCAAAGTAGAGGTTAATAAGTAAGATGAATTCTAGGAGAAAATTGACAAGTCACAAACCGTTTCCCTGCGTTCCCTTCAGTGGCGCCTTGGCGCACAGTGCCACGCTCAGATATCGTAGGCTTCACAAGGATAGGGCGAAGTTTCGAAATTTCAGGCCTCGGACGTTTTGTGTGCTTATATAATCAGGAAGTTCAGTGTACGTCATCATGTTCGTGAAATCAATTGTGCACTATATCATCATAAATGCTATTCATTTCGATCAACATGATGCCGTCGTTTCTGTGATAGATTTGTCTATATGGCATCAGTGCCCCTTCAAGTATGACGGCCCAGAGGAGACAATAATAAATTGAATCGTTTTATATAAAATATCTACATGATAACTCAAAAGTCGTGTTATGTCCGAAAATCTCTGAATGATAACCAAAAGTCATCCACGTGGCTTCTCAAAACTCTAATTCATTCTCAAAAGTCATCCACGTGGCTTCTCAGAACTCTCTTCTCGGCACAAAAGTCATCCACATGGTGAGTCCTACTGTTGTCCTCATTGTTGTCAACGATGAGCCACGCAGTGCCGCGCGTCGGGTCACGCGTCACACAGGCGGGTGCGTGATGTACCTGCACTTTCTTTGAATGGTAATTATTTATTTACAGTTACGGTTTGACTGTTTGACAGATGACCTTGCTGCCGCACCCTCTGCGACGACACGAGCACACCGTCTACCACCATACCTGCGTTCTGCTCACTTGCGTTTCGTCGTTCATTGTAACATTCCCTTACTCCCTCGACATCCAGCCCATTAACGCTCAAAGCCTCAATGCCTCTCAGGATAATAGTCCACCGCTTCCTCAAAATTCAAATCCCACTTTTGGCACTCCCGTTTCCTCATCGGCGCCTCTATGTCCACCCTCCTTGTGGAGATCGTCCACGTTGACCCTCGCGAGCTCTTGTGGCATGTGCTTGGATCCAGGAGGTGGCGATGGGAATCTGTTCAAGGCTGCCGAATTTCACTGCAGCAGAGGGTATCCTGACGCAAGAAAGTCCCGATGCAGCCTACTGCTGCGCTCCTGACCGGTCTTTCTCGTTTTCCAACTTTCAAAGGTATGTCTCGCGTGTCCCTCACCTTGTATATACTAATCATTCATTAAGTGTTGTTTTTGCACGAGTAAAATCTGTGCATCTCTATTGCTCAGCAAACTCGAATCTGTCCGTTTTATTAGGAAGACTTGGAGATGAAGAGCTTATGTGAGTCGTCGCATCTGCACATGACTATTATACTTACTCAGAGTGGAGATTTCGTTCCGCATGTAATGTGACTATCCGGCCCTCTAGGCAGCCGGTAGACTTCTGGACAAGGGACTCCCTTCCAACTTTCGATCACATTCTACGTTTGTCACCCGTACTTTCAGATCGGACAATTGGGCTGCTGTGTTTTAGGTGCCAAGAGTTTGCCAACCTCGTTGTGAAAGCCGATGGACTTTATGAGTGGGCATGTCTTGCATGCGAATACATTAGAGAAGACCTTCCCAGCTTATCTCCAATGGACTGCCTAGGGAGCGGCAAAACTTGTTGTATGATATAGATATGTATTGCTTCGCATGCCAGCAATAAACATTGTTGAATATTAAAGGAAAGCCATTTAGAGTGCGGTGCTTACAATACTGTCCAACATTCACAGGACAACATTGACATGGATCAACTCCCTCTCCCACTGCAGAACATCATCATAGCATTCGACGAGCTCAAAGATCAAGTTCGTGTTGCTCTTCTCACACAGCTTGGTGACGCTGCACGTCTCCAAGTTCAGATACATTCATGCGAGCAGCTTAGACATCAAATTGATACGGTGTGTATTTCCTTCCTTCAACTAGGTGCTGATACTAAACTCGGAGTCTGCAGCATCATAACCTTATACCTGATGCCACCTTTGCGACCATGTGCTCTAGTCTGGATGCCATGGTGTCTGATCTTGAGCAAGCGAAAGAGCGGTCAGCAGATCATCCGGATGCGCCTCCCATTAACCCCGTTGTTGCTATTCACACTGGACGGCGTGGTCGTCCCCGGCTTGAAATCAATTCTGATGTGCTAGAAACTGCGATGCAGTTTGGTGGACCAACGGCACTGAGCAATGTCTTTGGTGTTTCATCACGCACAGTTCGTCGACGTGCCTTGGAAAGTGGGCTTTCAGAACCTGGAGAGCCAGTTTATGTAGAATTCACTGGCAATGACGGTGTTGTGTCCCGTTTTTATACATCATCCACAGCATCACAGTCCACCTTATCCGACGATCAATTAGATACAACAATGCTTCAGATTCTCACCCACTATCCTACTCTAGGACGACGCATGATCGATGGTCAACTACGTTACTTGGGCATCATTGTACCTCGTGCTCGCATTCAAGAATCTTACGCTCGTGTCCATGGCCCTCCTGTAGCAGCCTTTGGCATTCGCCGCATCATGCGACGGGTCTACAAAGTCCAAGGCTACAACTCTTTGGCGCATCATGATGGACAACACGGTAAGTGATTATGCTTGGACCTTGGTACATCACTACCATGATCAATTAGGTCTTATCCGCTGGAAGATCGTTGTTCATGGATTTATTGATGGCTATTCACGGTACATAACAGGCATTCGAGCGCACAATAACAATCGTGCTGTTACTGTTTTAAATTTGTTCACGGAGCTCATCGAAGTACACGGGCTCCCAAGCCGTGTTCGGGGAGACCATGGAGTCGAGAATGTTGATGTTGCGCGGTTCATGGAGGCGGCTCGTGGGACAGGCAGGGGTTCGTACATCTGGGGTCGGTGAGCACTCAGTCAGCCTGACCATTCAATTTAGTATTCTAAGAGATCACAGGAGTGTACACAATATACGCATCGAGCGGTTATGGGTCGACTTTACAAACGGGATAGGATCCAAATGGAAGAAGTTTTTTCAAGATCTCCAACTTAGTAGTGGTCTTGACGCTGATAACCCTCATCACATATGGCTGGTCCATTACCTTTTCCTCACAACCCTCAATTCCGAAATTCACGTATGGGCTGAAACTTGGAACAACCACCGCATGAGTACTGCTGAACATGGTATCACAAGCCCGCACCAACTGCGCTACCTCAGCATGCTCCAGCATGGTGCACGTGGCTTTGAGCCATGCACATTTCATGCCCCAGAAGATGTACTTGAGGGTGACAGTCTGGAAGAATATGGTATTGATTGGGATGCCATTGACAGTTCCCGAATTCGTTCTCACCACAATACTTCCAACCAACCAGACGACCTCGCCGACAATCCATTTATAGCCTATAGGCCTGAGACACTTAACGAAGTGAACGTGGATGAACCCAACTGCCCCCTCTCCCCTGCCCAACTTGAGCAGTTGCATGCCTACCTTTGGCAATTTCCAGACGATGGGCAAAATGTTACTCGCAGGTCTCTTTGGGAACATGCACTTGCTAAGTGTATTCAATTAATATCGTAGTCTGCATTGCTGCATTGTACTAGTGATAAGTCTGCACCGTGCAACATAGGATCCTAAGCTGGCTACCATCTCCACTCGATCGACCCTTTGCTGCGCATCCGCACACCTTTGTACATCTTGTATGTCTCGCTTAAGAGCTGCAACTGATCAACCTTGAGCGAGGAGAAACTGTATCACCAACGTTGATTGAAATAGACTCAGGTTACTAGATGCTGGGTCGAGGACGGTCGAGCTTGATTGGAACGACTGGAATAAGCCTGTGATGTCTCGGCTCAGGGCGAAGTTGTTCCGGAATAGCACCTACGTAAACGATATCAGGCAACCATGAGAAACATACAGCGGGCAGCAAACCAAGTTAGAGATCGCAGTATTGAATAGCACGAGCAATGTATCTTCTTGAGCAGAACACTCAATACTATGAACACCTATCAAAGAAAGATATCAATGTGAAACGTCCACTGATGGTTTAATTCGACATACCTTCAAAATCCAAAGCAACAATAAGAGCATCTTTAGTCGGAGTTACTGACATCCAAACCCCTTCTGTCGTACGCATGGCCGATCCTGCGAATGACGTATCCACAAGATGGTGAAAGGAAAAGCTCTTCGATTGTTCGCCCATGGACGACACAACTTTGACCGGCTTGAAGAAGATGGCACCGGATAAAGTCAGTATCGCTCGACTCGAGGCGTTCATGTATCATACCTTTTTCGCCATGTATGACTGGAACAAAGACTCATACCAACCAAAAGACAGGTGATTGACAATGTGGTTAACATCTGCACCGAGGAGGGACTTCTCAAGTTCGGTTGGATATACACCATCCTTGAGGATCCAAGGATAGTAGCGCAAGGGAAAGGAAGTGCACGAGGAGAGATGGATCCGAGTGTGTGGGTGATAGTCACAGCAGCGAATATTGATTATGAGAGGAGTTAGACGCAGGTGCAGGGAAACGAGAGTTGAACTGAGTGTGATCGTGCCACACGTCTAGCCATGTCTCTGCAGTGTATTTTAATGGAACGAAATTGGAGGGATGATAAGTCACTCACAATTTCATCTTGAGCAAGAGGTACATCGACGGTGCGTGTGGGATGACCTCCGGAAAACAACTTGAAGTTGAAATTCCAGTGTCGGGACTGTTGTTCAATTGGTTGGGATGCATCTACAGGTCGTGTGCCAAAATGTATGGAACTGAGAAAATGTGTAAATGAGTGCTAGTCCGAAATGAAATGAAATGGACAGGCACACCGAAAGTGTAGAGAGATGGTGACTTGCTGTAACGAGCAACGGGTACACTGAGATTACAGTGTATGATTACACTGAGTTATACTTACAAATACAAGTTAGACACCATATACAACAGCCATGGTTGCCGTCATGAAGACGGGCGAGTAAGCCTCGTACTGCGCAACGTTGAAAGAAGCATTGACCAATGACGACCACCAGACAGTTGGTCCATGGCTCAAGGGACCTGTCGTTACCAGGCTCGACAGTCTCAATGGGAACATACTGATAACCGCCAAGAGGAGTAACGACAGTGGTCTCGTTGGCAAGAACAATCTTGTTGGCAAGGTTGGGAGGGAAACATCAGATGTGATGACCTTTGCACCTGGAATGCCGGTGAGAAAAATAGAACGATACAGAACAAACAAACTTACCTCGTCGAATTGAGAGACGGTGAAAGGACTCCAGAACGTGTCAGATGATTACGATTGTGCCGCGACGAAAGTTTGTACGGCGACCAGTAGGAATGTTCTGATTTGGACATGGTTGACTTCGGATGTAAGTAGTTACAAGCGTGAATGTATGAATAGGAACGAGGAAAGGGACAAAAACAAAAATGCAGTTAAATTGCTTCGCCAGTTTCAGGGTTCAGAGCAACTCTGTACGCCCTGGCCGGGTCTGCATTTACACTGGGATCAGCTCAGGGTTCGAAGCAACTTCGGACTGCCCTGGCCAGCCCAGGTAAAAAGAGAAAGTGTGGGGGCGAAGTTGACAGAATGAGTACTCACTTCCACGAGTTTTTGCTGTGTCTTGGGGAGATCGATTAATTCCCACGGGTTCAGAAACTTCCTGGCCAACCCGGGCCCTGAGCAACTCGTGCCGATCAGACTTGAGTTCGATGTGGAGCATCATAAGATGTGCGAGACCTTTGTATGGAATCTGAATGGTAAGCCTCTTGTTTAGAGTAGCTTTCATTGCTGACGCCGTTTAGATCCTTCCATCACTCCTGAGCATTTTGCGCAGACGCTCGTCGAGGATTATGTGCTACCCTGGAGTTATCACGGCATCATCACGCCACGTTGACGGCGACTGGAAAAGAAGTGCGTCGTTTTTATATTGCTGTCATTTATCTACTGACTATTGCTATCCTTGCTCTGACTTCCTGCACTCACTTCACGAGTTCCCTAGTATGTCGCACAGACTTGTGAATCGATACTTATCGCAAAATCATACCAGATAAAAACAATACAGCAGGAACCACACACCGATAGGTGGCCTGTCGTTACTCGATCTTTTGAAAGTAGATGCCACTCTTATGGCAACCTGAGCGCCAAGCAGGGCATTTCAGACATGGATATTCTCTTTACTCTCATGCGAGCTTACAAAGTTCTCGACAAAGTAGGCTCGTTTTCCATGAATCAAAACATGATATTCATGTATGAATAGATCTCATTCGACATGTCTCTCGCCCACGGTCTAGACTACGACCATGCAAGACATCCAAAGGCATGTTTCCGTCTCTGACTCTTTAATATACCACAAATCAAGCATGTTTCTTGCAGACTATTGCCACCACAACAGTCCGCGATGCATGCATAGATGGAGACTTATATACTGACGAAGAACTACTCATGCAAGATATCAATACCGATCCAAACAACCATACTCCCTACGTCCATCGCTCAAAGGCATGTTTTCGTCTCTGACTCATATACCACAAATCGAGCATGCTTCGTGCAGATCCTAGCCATCACGACCCCCCATATTGCATGTCTAAATGGAGACTTATCTACCGCCGAAGGACTACTCACTCAAGATATCAATACCAGTCCGAACTATCATACTTCCTACGCCCATCGGTCATTCGTCATGGCGCGAAAATGCGACTGGGACCGCGCCCTTCTGGACGCAATCAAGGTGAGAATCAGAGTGTGTCGTTGCCCACCAGTCACAGGCTTGCAGCTCAACTCGCTTTTGCCAAATACTCAGAAGACCTTTTCGGCCGTTGCCCATACGATAGCCAACTAGTATATCGAAAATGGTGGTCTTCGCTTGTGCTTGTGCTTCGATCGTAGGCAAGCACTTGTATGGTAATATATATCACATTATTCCGCCTCGCTTTAATCTGTATCATACCCAGCACCATCAAAAACTGGTTTTTGTATATTAGCAAAGTCTTTCAGAACGACGAGGTGCGCAAGATGCCTGTGAGACCTTGTGAAGTTAGTGAGCCAAACGGGCAGATGTTTCATCATGGCATCTATGATGAAGACCAGGATCCTCATGATGGGTTATGGTTGATGAGTAGACTCGTATTTGGAATTTGGTTCGCCTCCAAGAGGCGTTGCCATCTCGTACACTTTTGTACCATATGGTTCGCTTGCTTCTCATCTTCTCTGCTTGCTTCCACTGCATGTTAATCCTCTGACATGTCTCCCGATCACCAGCATCTCTTATCTCTTTTCCCCCCACCTCCGAATTGTCCAGTCGCTCCCTCCATAGCCTGGTGCACTGATCCAGTATCTTTACACTTTGTTACTCGTCAATAGTTCCTCTATTGGTGAGTAAACATGTTCTTGCAGTCGTAACACATTTTTAAATATAACTCTTAGTAAAATGACGACCCGGTATCGTTGCAGCGAGTGTTTGACTCGCATATGTGCTGCATATTTTGCTGCAGATGCTTCCCAGGTATGGTTTTTATTTTCCTGTAGCCATTAAACTCACACCGCACTCCCTGTAGCAAATATGCCACTGCACCCACTCAATAACATCTCACAGCGAAACTCCTCCGCATCCAGAACCTCCAGTGTTTCCACCTCGAGGAGGTGCTGGCTTGTGTCGTGAATATCGCAGCCTTCACAATGCACCGGTAGGCAGAGCATAATTTGTTTCGTGCTTTTGTTTACTCACCATTTTTTGGTATCAAGATTCATCATTATTACCAGTTGTGTATGTGCAGGCAGCCTTACAGTGCCCACACCCCGTTGGTCATCCAATCTGTGCTCCCATCTTCCACACTGTCATTGTCATCTTCCTCTGTAAACCATTCCAGTGTACAGTCTAATCCGTCAGGGCATGCTGACGATCAGTTCTTCACTAATATGGCCTCTCACTCTATCCCTCAATACCAGGCCAGTACCACTTCAAACCGACTGGCAACCATCTCTGGACCTTCACTGGTCAATGCATATACTACGTCTGTACATCGTCCTCCCCCCCAATCTCAAGGGGCACCAGTCACCCGTGGCCACATGGCATTTGGAGTGCCAATGGCAGGTGTCTCAACCAGTTCTACCAGCTTGCGGGGGCATACACGTGGTCGTGGGCAATGAATCACAGTCAGTGCGCCATTGCGTACCATCCATGCTCAACTCATTCTCATGCCAAGAGATGTAAGTGACGTCAATGCTGTGGTATCTATAGCTATTCTGACCTGTGTTACAGCCCATGTATGATTACACTGAGGCAGATGATAACCATGTAGGCCATGTGAGGCGCATGCGCGATGGTGAAGGATTAGCATCTGACCTCCGCTTTCTCACCGAGCATGGGCTTACTCGCATGGTGAACTTGTCAGGCCGCAAAGGCGATTCACTCATGAACCAGATCGTTCATGAGGTCACACAGATGGCTCATGATGGCCACCTGCAGTTCCCAGCATGGCAAGCTGACAATCTTCCACTAGCTACAGACGCACCCAACCGTGATATCCGCCTGAAATTCCACAGTTTGCCTTTCTGTTTTCTCCAACCTGGCAATTCCAATGGGAGCCGGGGCAGGCGCTACTTAAATGTCGATGCCGCCTTCAATTTCCAATCTTTGGAAGTCTCGAAGTTTTTCAAGCGATGTGACCGTATAAAGAGCCCTGAAGATTCCAATGTGTCGCTCATCTATCTCTGTTTGTCTTGCACTTAATTTTGCATATTCTAAAATACTAATGGTGCGTGTACTAGGTCCGAAAGGGGGCGATGTTATTGGACCGTTGATCAAGGGCTCAATATATCCCCACCACTGTTTTGCCGACCGTATTGCAACCTATTTAATTCAAAGCTATGAAGACACTGCTGGGATCACTGACCATTTCACAACTCCGCCTTGCGCTACCACATGTCCTCCTGAAGATTCACTAGGCACACCTGCATCGTCTACTTCTCAACTGAGCCTATTGTCACCCGCATTGCTGTCAAGTTCCATTCCATCCTCACCAACCCCATCTCCCTCCTATGCCAGTCTTTCTCCTCGCCCAGAACTCCCATCTACACCTGCCACCAGCGAGTCACCTGCAGCCATGACATTGGTGGGCAGTAGTACTAGTATCTCATCATCAAGCCTAGTACCTCGCTACAGCAATCGTGATCGATCAGCATCACCCCAACGCAGGGACATTGGTCCTGTATCTCATGGTCGAGCTCAATCTCATGGGCATTCATATCGCCTAATTCCATACTCTGAACGTCATTCAGAGTCATCATCTTCAGGGGATATTACATCTGGTCATCGGCTTATTCCAGCATCGTCATCATTCCCTAGTCCTGAAGCCACCACTTCTGCCACTGACACACCATCCACGCCACTGGACCAGGAAAGATTTATAGACTTGCGCCCATTGGTCCAATTTATACCACGCCGCCGAAATCAACAACCCCGATCTCCTTTATTACTACATCCTTACCCTCAGCCCTCTACTACAACGTCCCCCATGCTCTCAGGCCTACCATCTTCTGAGGATACTAGTGGCTCCATTTCCGAAACCAGCTCCTCTCTGCCCAGTGAAGTGCATTCCCCAGCTCTAGAGAGAGCACAGCATGGTCGCACATCAGTACCCACCTATGATCACTCCCTCGCCCCTTTGGTGCCTTTCAGGGCAGACAATCTCCGTGATCTGACAGATCTGCGTGAGGGGATTCATTACTCGGCAGATTCAAAGTACCATGGTGCAACTTTCTATGTTGAGGCTGATGTCCTTTCAGATGCTGCTGATGGTATTATTGACTTCTTCAAATACCAAAGGCAGTTTTCCGACGTAGACTCAGACATCCGGGACTTGTCTGATACCTTTGCGTTCACAAATCCTGATGCCAAGAGCAGTTTTCGAGTCCGATGGGGCACTGAAGGGAGGGACTGCACGCTAACTCATAGCGATGTTGAGAACATATTCTCAATGTCAGTCTGGCAATTTCGAGCGTACGTGATACAACTTTTTCATCGTGCACACCCTCATTGACCTAAATACCAGTGGTCATCCAGAGGCAACAGACTAGTGCTGCCGCAGTCCGGTCCAGGACCTAGGTTCGAACCCGAACCTTTGTGGACCGGACCCATGGTTCGGTCACAGGTCCAGAATTTCTCTTGGACCGAACCCCTTGGTAGGTTCGAGGTTCGGTGTGTTGTCGATAAATCCGGACCGGTTCTGGACACATCCGGACCGGTTCGAACCTATCATGTCGCTGGCTTTGACTTACGATTTTCGAAGTCGAAGCCTCATGTTTTTGGTGAGGCTTTCTATTTAAGTATCATCCTTGCCCTTCTGTTCACCGTCTTCTCCTACTTCTCCTGCAAGGCAATCTCTCGGCTACTTCAGTAATGCAACTCATTCATGCGCCAGTGAGTTCGCAACAAGTCTACTGTCTGTCACAATTAACTTATGATGTGATTTATTTCAGAACATACCTACAGTTGTGATTCACCATACTGATTATCTGCCATGGGTTCTCATTTTGGTGTTTCATGGTGCGCAACAGTTTTAAATCTAGTTTTAAATAAATTCACTTGGTACCTAGGTTTGAAATTTATGCCCCCTGCTGCTATGTCCTCTGCACGTCGCGCTGACGGTTCGTTGAAAGACGCCAGTGAGATAGCGTGGTACAATGATGCCGAAGACGACTCTCCAATGGTTCCTCCCCCTGCTCCTGCACACAACGGCACTCTCAATTCGTTTGTACGTCGTTCTGGTCGAGCGGTCAAACCCACAGAGAAGATCCGCGAGACTCTGACTGCCAGCAGTACCTCAGCCAAACGGTCAGCTGTAGAACCTCCTCAGGGTGTCCCTGCACCCAAACGAGTGTTCGTTGGTACCAGTAGCAGAGAGGATGACGAGGATGACGACGAAGATGCACCCGCACTTGAAGACGTTACAGATGATGAGGAAGAGGATGCCGAGAATGCCGAGAATGCCGAGAATGAAGAAGCTTATCAACGGACGAAGAAGCTCGGCGACCAGGATCGCGAAGACCGCAAATCCCTCAAGAAAGATGAACGCAGCGCTGACTTGACTACAGTCTTTACCTTTGAGAAAGGTCACATCAACCCCCACACCCAGGAGCGTGAAAATGGGTGGTGGTGTGAGGTATGCAAGGCCAATAATGTCCCACTACACCAGTGCTTTTTTAAAGGTGGTATCTCGACTAGACGCACTCACATTGCTCGCCATCCCAAGTGCCACTACCCAGTCTATCACGACCGCTGCAAAGAACGGGGTATCAAGATGCACAATCGTGCCATACCTCGTGATTGCAAGGCAACTGACAGTCAGGCAACCTTGGACGGCTCTCTGACTCCAAAGATTCCCACATTCACGAAGTCCGGACTCATGGATTACATCGTCGAACTCATTGTCGCTGAGGACGAGGTAAGTAGCTTTCATTTCTGAGATTTTTTAAAGATACTTACACTACATTTGTACTAGGCATTTCAACTCGTAGATAAAGGTCCCTTCCGTCGACTTCTTCAATATCTCCGACCCTCGCTTTCAGAAACAGATATTCCCCACCGTACAAAAACGCATGATGAGATCCTCGAACGTGCGAAGCTGGCAGTCGAGCGCGTGAAAGAGAAGCTCAAGCATGTCGACAGCAAAATTTCCATGATGTTCGACTCGTGGACATCTTTTCCTGGTCACCCTTTCCTATCCATTACAGCGCATTACATAGACTCCCCGATCGAAAAGCCTCACGGTCATTGTGAACGAGGAGTAGCTGTACGTAGCGTACAAATTTGTCGTTGTTGTCTTGTAAAATTTTGATTTTTTTGCAAATTGAAATAAAGGGTTCGAGGGTTCGAACGCGTTCTGAACTTGAACCGAACCCTTCCGAATGCGTTCACAGGGGTCCGGTCCATGGTTCAGCCTCCTTGCTCGAACCTGACCAATGGTCAGGTTCGGGGTTCGCAAATATAGGGCCATGAACTGGACCGAACCGGACTTCGGCAGCACTACAACAGACAGTATCGGTGATGGGCCAATGCGACAGATTCTGGATACCGCTATGAGACGGTGTCTAACCTGGAAGCCTGACATAGGTTCTGGTGACGATGAGGATGTGATGGATGTTGATGGCGATGTCAGTTCATTGCTCGAGATCCGATTTCTCCTGCTTTGCTTGAGCTGGTTATGAATGGTGTCAGCTCCATCATGGATGAAAAATGGCTTTCTACGCTCTACCCAACACTTGCAGATGTTCTGAGTGTGGTTCCCCCAGATGATCAGAATGGACAGTGCCTTCCTCGTGAACCTGAAATGCGATCACGGATCACCCGCATCTGTCATGTCCGTTTGGACACCACTGTATGTGCTCATATACTATATCGTTGGCTAGATGAAGTTGACTAAACCTGTATCACTAGTTTAATGAGATCTATCGCACTGGGACTGAACAATGGCCAGCCGTTCGTTGTGACTTCTTTTGTAGTGCCCTTTTAGGCTACTCCTACGAGTCTTTTGTTAAATCACAGGAATACAAGGCATTCGCAACAGGCTTTGATATCTACCTTACATCATCTCTGCCTTCAATCACCAAGGTATGTTCTCAGCAAATTTTAACCAATGTTAGGTATTTATATCTTTCTAGGCCCTACGGCACCATTCCAAGCCAATTCTGCAGCATATCTTCAACAAACGTCCAACAGCAGTTAAACTAAGCCCATTGTTACGCTTTGAAGTTGATGGAGATGTGATGTTCCATGCATGCATGTCGCCTCTTCTGGAGGCCTTGAAGAATGCGGTGATTCGTTACTTGGAGGGAGAAGGACATCCGGACCATGACGCATTTCATGATCTTGTAGATCCTGATCATCGACCAGGTCCTGATTATCGTGCCCAGCGTTTTGTCAAGGTGTTAAGCGGTATCCCTACTCTACCTGCTGACCCTTTGACAACGTTTAGAGTAAGTCATTTGACTACTATCTGGCCTGTACATGCACTGACATGGGTGGGTAGATTGCATTAATTCAAGAGGTGTCAGACGCTGCTACTTTTCATGGTCAATTCAATGTGCGTTTCTGTTTGCTATCTGATGACTTGGACACTCATTCATATGCCAATAGGCCGATCGCAATATCATTCCACCAATGGTACATACCTGCATGTACAAGCTGGACGTCTTCATGAATGCTCCCCTCATCAAGTGTCTTCAAAATCCACCAATAGATGCGTCTCAAGTCACTGCTCTTGATGTATGCCTACACATGGCGCTCATAGAGGCAGGTGATGATACATTCAATGCACGAATGCCTTTATTTGTGTGACCCACCGCCATTCTCTTCTCGCATTTTGCTGATGTTACTGCTTTTTGAACTGGACTGCACGCATTTTCTCTACTAACCTGTTCATTCAAGTTGCACTCCTGCTGCTTTCATTTTCTCGTACTGCAATATTTCCACCGCTGCTCTTCTACTGCTCTTCCCTCCGTGTCTTTCTCCACGTCATCAGCCCATATTGTACCTTCATCGCAGCGCTGATTAATTTTGCTCCTCCTGCACTGTTCTCATATCGCACTGTTCTCATACTGCACTTCCCTGACTTTGTCCACATCATCAGCCCATATGGTACCTTCATCGCAGCGCTGATTAATTTTTTTCATATGTCCTGCACGCACTGTACTTGCCATTTCTCGACACAATTCCTTACTTTAGCTGTTGTTCTCAGATAACACACCTCGTATATTGCTGCATCCTGCTACATGACTGTGTATGATTCAAGTTGTTCGTATCATACTTATGGGCCCTTTGTGCTGAAGTACCTCTCGCTCTCGAAGTTCCACTCATAGTTCGAGCACACCCAGTTTCCCAAGCCATCGCACCTTTTGCACACTCTGACCCTGTTTGTATTCAATCTCCTGTGCCTTTCAAATACGTTGAACGAGGTTGTTGCAGATGGATTCTCACCGCTCGGGCACAAGTTGTATCTGCTCCTCCTGCACGTCAGAAGTCTCTGTTGCTGCTGCTTTTGTATGGGGCTTGAGGTGAGGCACGCTGGTCGCCTGAGATCATCCTATGAAAGTATCAAATTAGTATCCGTACATCATCACACATAAAGTTGAACAGCAATTCCTCCTAGCATAATGTTCACGCCCTGTCTCAATGATGTGAACGTCAGGCAAAATATGGGATGATGTGCATACCATCGAAGCGCTTGTCTTCATGTTGGCAGCATGCGCAGCGGATGCGCCTCCCACAGCTTGTACAATCAAGTAAATGATGTCCTAGGAGGAGGCAAGATATGAGGAATTAACACCGCTTGAATATATGATACTAACAAAGCAACAGAAAACGATGGTATCTAGCCACCACTAGGTCCCGACCTGGATGACGGCGACCACCGATGCCCTGAAAAGGACGTGATGTCAGCAGCAGGCTAGAAGACGAAAGTAGAATGTACCCTCTCATCTGACCCTCGAACTTACAAGCTGCGAGAGTTGGGTGGACCGGGGTGCCTAGACCATGGTGCAGGCCAGTACAACCGACCAAGGAGATGCTGAGAGTGAGAGGCACAGGGTGGAGAGAAGTCGGACATCCGAGAACCCCGGCAAATGTGGCCACCAGACATGCTTGAAGAGGATCAGATGGACCCAGGTCCTATCCACTGTGCCATCCACGCCGTGAGTGGTCACAACCCGCTACTAGTAAACTAGCCCTGGCTTGATCTCTGTGCTTGTGGTTCTATCTGGGTAAGTTTTGAAGTGGCAGCACCAGCAAAAAGCACGGAGAGAGTGGGATGAGACATGTCAGCATACCATCTGGACACCATTGCTAATGAGAGCCGAGTGCCAGGCGGGCAGTACTGTAACTGGTAATTGATTAATTACTATATCAAGCAAGTGCTGGTACCAGCATCACGCACCCGCCATACTGTGACCAGTGACCAGTGACCCGACACGCAAAGGGCGGGGCCCGCCTTGAGCTCACCATTGATAACGGTGAGCATGGGATGACTTGAGCCAGCAGGTGGACCACTTTTGTGCTATGAATAGAGTTTTGAGAAGCGACATGGATGACTTCTGTGCATGACATCCTGATTTGGTAGCCACGTGGATGACTTTTGTGAAATGATTTAGAGTTTTGAGAAGCCACGTGGATGACTTTTGTGAAATCAATTCGAGTTTTAGTTATAACATCGATTTATTTACTTTATCGTTTTGATTTTATTTTGTCCAATACGGTCCCTCATATTCAAGGCTTTAAGCTTCCTTCGGCATATGGATGATTAGCGCTTCAAGAAACAGTCAACGTGTTGGCCAGGCTTTGGTCAAGGGTATCAATTGGTTCATGCCAGAGATTCTCTTTTTCTCCCACCTATGTCCTACTTCTATTCTCTCGCCCGCTTCCCGATATCGAAGAGGAGTTTGAAGGCGCTGTACATATTCTACGGTTGTCTATGGACGGTATTCCACCAGAAGTCGCGAAGTCCGACATTCAGGCATTCGTATCCGAGGAGCTGAAAGAGCGATCAGGCTTTGAAGACAGAGTTCGCAGATCTCGCTGCGAAAGCCGATGGACTTTTCGAGTGGGCGCGTCTCGCCTGCGAATACATCAAAAATCCCCCTCCAGGCGTATGCCAAACGGATCGCTTCGATGCCCTCATGAACCGCAGTGCTGGAAAGCAGAAAAACCTGCTGTATGATATTTATCTGGTCATTTTGAAAAGAAATTATGAACAGGGACCGATATGATGACGACGAGCAGTACCAGGAAGCATTAGCAGGGTTGCACTCCGTGATGGGACAAATAATCGGCACAGCTGAACCATTCCCTTTCAATTCCCTTAACATCATGCGGAAATACTTTCCAGACCGAAGCAAGCATGGCAACATAGACATTATTAAGCATATGGGATCCCTCCTCAGCGGCACCACCGATTTGTGTACTCCCATCCGAGCCCTTCACGCATCTCTCCACGACTTCCTGGCAGACAAGTCATCCAGCGGAGTCTTTTTCGTCGAAGTGTCCAAGGTACAGCGCGACCTTGCATTTGGAAACATGGCCTTCGCTTCAACATCTGTGGTTTGAAGTCATCTTACCTCCCTAATTCCCAAGACACGGAGTTGCTTGAATAAGTCAAAACATCCATTTCCCCACATTTGTCCTATTCCTGTCGGTATTGGGGTGCGCATGTTCAGACAACGGACTTTGACGATGAGCTCGCACATGAAATAAGCGGCGACGAGCGACTGATGTTCTGGATCGAAGCACTCGGACTTCTCAATGCAATCGGACACTGACGCGGTTTTGTCAGTCTCGTTCTCATCGGATGGTACTCGCATCGCGTCTGGTTCAAGGGATCACACTGTGCGGCTGTGGAATGCAGCGACGGGACAGCCATTGGGTGAGCCCTTGAAGGGGCACACTGGCGCAGTCTCGTTCTCACCGGATGGTACTAGCACCGCGTCTGGTTCGGAGGATAAAACCGTGCAGCTTATGAAAGCGCTGCCATCCCCCGAGTCCACAGAGCCGGATCCCTCTGCATCTCCACTGCATCGAAGTACTGCATCTCCCACTCAAGAAAGCCGTATCACCCCAACCAACATTTATGACCATCCCCCCCATTTCCTTCTCGCCCTGCCCAATCCCGCTGACTTGCTCGAACCCACCTCTGATCATCATTCTAATTCAACCCCTTTCTTGCTGCAGCCTGATGGATGGATCATGGGACCCAAACATGAGCTCCTTTTCTGGGTACCTCCCGCTTCCCGACACCTATTTTATTCTCCTGACACTGCAATGGTGATTCCTAGAGGAGCGTTGAACTTGATTTGAGCTGCATGGCACATGGGACGCGCTGGTCGAGTTGCCGAGACGCGTGAGTTTTTCATCCTTACCATCTGTCCTCGCAGTTGCTAACATCAATCCCTCCAGCTCCACGTAACGATGATTTTATTGCTGCAATGTCGAGTGTACCATTTGATTCTATGATTCCCTTTCTATTTTATACCTAGCACTGATCCTGAATTTATGGTTGTCCTACTGAACGATGCACTGAACGGCAGACTGCAATGTTGCTGCTGATTCGTAGCGAAAACTAATTTCATCAGAAACGCCCTAAGTTAGACATCATGCTGATGTGTCACGTGTGCTTCGGTATTCCTGATCTCATCACTGTCAGTCTCGATTTAAGTGTATGTGATGAAGCGGCTGCAACCCTGCACGTAGGACGTGCTGATCGACTCATTCTGACGAGATCTTTAAACTCAATAGCTGCGTTGGACTGGGGCGGCTGGCAATGTGCCTACTTCTGGCAGACAGAAGCTGGTGTGGTCTCAACCTAATGATGATGCTACCTGCGACAACGTCCGCTTGGAGGCTCTACCCCTACTTAGTACTGACTAATGATTGAGCTTAGGATGTATTCAAATCATTGTGGGTTCACGGGCCGTAAATTTTCACACAGTTCCATAATTCTACCAGGGCTGCACACCGTGGCAGGACTTACATGCCTTAACCTCGCAGGGTCCTGTTCTTGCTAGTCAACAGAGCACATGCCATCCCTTCAAGTGTTTCGTCGTGCGTACATGCAAGGCTATGGCTCTGATCGTGGCCCTTGGCGTTATCGTCTCTTTCCAGAGCACGAGCTACGTGCCCAGATCCTGAAACGCTGCATAACTAATATCTCAAGCGACGGAAGGAGCCTTGGCGCTTCTCTCCAGCCTCACGTTAGTTCAGTCAACGAGGACAGACATCTAATCATGGATTTAAGCCTCCCAAATGGTGTCTGGAGCTTGACCTGTGTCTTCGATGGTGCGTGTTATGAGGCACCACAAATACTTCACATTCCCCCACATATTTTATTGATCAATTAAACATCTCCTATATAGGACACGGAGGACATGAAACAGCTGATTACCTTGTTGCCGAATTGCCCTCTCTTTTAATGGTTGGATTGTTGCCCACAGTGACCAACTTGGAGGGCGTTACAGATGTTCTCACCAGAGCGATTTTTGACGTGGATGAAGCAATAAAACGGGACCTCCTCGAAATATTCCCTGAAGAAGTGGACGAGATTGCTACGATGTCAGATATATCAGTCAAAGCGCGGGTCAACGACCAGTCTTCTGGAGGACTAAATTATCAGAAAGCCCTTCGTTGCTTGAGGGGATCTACAATCTTATTAACGCTCGTCGACCCTACAAAGAAGCATCTTTGGGTGCTAAATCTCGGTGATGGCTTAGTGGGTGAGCTGAGGTGAAGGTTATCAAAATGCAAGCGGAAATCACTAACATCGACTTTGGAGCAGTGCTCGGAAGTAGACGAGACGCGAGTTCACAATGGAATGCATCCATCTTGAGCGATAATCACAATGGCAACAACCCTGCTGAGGCCGATCGCATCAAACAGCAACACCCTGGCGAACCGGAATGCATCTTCGACGATAGAGTGCTCGGTAATCTTGCTGTCACGAGAGGTAAGCCTACCAAATGTATTAGATCAGTCGATCTCACTGTGATGCGGCATCAAGCTGTTGGCGACCACAGCTTCAAACTGCCTCGCATCTACACTGAGAAAATATTTTTAAATGTAGAACCGGGATTTCGTGTCCCTGCTGCGATTGAGTCTTTCATTCCACGAAATCTGAGCCCACCATACGTCTCGAATCTTGCAAGCGTCCGTTATGTCGACCTTCATGAGCAGTCAAGCTGCGACTACTTTATCTTGATGTGTTCCGACGGGCTGGTTGACCTTTACATGGATGAGCCAGATTACGTTGAATCCCTCGCATCTCTCGTCCAGAAGTGGGTGGGAATAGTAGGTGACGTCGTGAAAGACGACATCCAGGAGGCAATGCTGCGCTTGTTAAGACACGCTCTGGGCGCAGAAGACATCGACAGAGTATCATGTATGCTTAACGTAGACATGCCTGTCCCTTACATGGATGATACGACTGTCATCTTACAAGTGCTGTAGTATCCCATACGAAGGCGTGCACATGTAGGGGGTAACGGATGCGGATTGTACAGATGCCAAGTGCCAGAAATGTTGCGTTTGTAAATTATAGATCAAAGTCAGGAAAACATCGAGCCCTGCATCTAGCAGATCCACGATCTCGATCTCCAGCGGGATGTCTTTCATTTGCACGTGCCCCTTGTCTGCGTCCTAAACAACCGATCAATAGCTGTGGACGAACAACTCCAGAAGGCACGCACTGTGTATATCGGCACCTCTGGGTGTGGGTGGAAGGCTTCCTTAACATTGCAGTCCAAAATTGTTTGTAAGTCTGGGGGGTCGGTGAGGCGGAAAATCCAAAAGCTAACCATGAAAAGAATTAAGACACGAATGGTATGAGCAATGTGGTACGCACTTGGGAGTGAACTGTGGGCACAAACAACGGCAAAAGACTCCGCTGAAATCCAGAATGTGTATGTAGATCAACCGACGACATAAAGCCTTCTTAAAGGGCCAGTAAGCAAGAGGTTTTGTGCCAAATTTAAGTACTCACAAGATTGTGAAGGATGCGTGTGAATCTAACGAAGATCGTTAGACGCAGATTTCATTGGGATCTTGCCGTCCCGAGACAGAGCCAAGCTTCAGCTTCCACCAATATCACCGACAAGTGAAATTGCGTGGAAAGCCAGCGAGCCAGACCATGAAAGCCTATAACTGCCTCTGGAGAACAATCCATCATAATTTGAAGACGTTGGATAGACGCTCATGACAGGAAAATATTGCGCTGAAACTGCGGAAAGTAGACGGATGGCTGACCGATCGAGGGTACAAGGAAGGTCAAAAGAAAATAAGAGCCCCAACACCCCATAAAGTGGAGATATTGGGAACAGCAGGACACTATACATTATCTGTTGTGCTGCTCGGGAGCGGCAGTTGGTGAGGATGGTGGAAGTATTGATGAAGAGACGCCGGCCACTGTCAATCGGACAGCAAATGATACTTCAAGTTGGACGCTGATTGGATTCGGTCATAATCAGGTGGGTTTTTAGCGCTGCCAAGTTCCGTTTTAGAACTCAACATGACCAACGGTGTCTCACATATGAGGGAGTTACTTCACTGTTCAGTGAGAACTTCTGTCAAAGTAGAGGTTGACGAATTCGACAAGTCACAGAACCGTTTCCCTGTATTCCCTTCAGTGGCCTTGGCATGCACAGATATCGTAGGCTTCACAAGGATAGGGCGAAGTTTGTTAATTGCCAGCAGGGCTCGGACGTTTTGCGTGCGCCATGAAATTGGTTCAGGTGACTCCAGATTCGGACTCAACTCAGGAATCAGCCGCTGCCCAGCTCGCGCCCATTGAAGCTTCTAGTAGAGTCTGGACTTGGTTCTTTGGTCTGTTTTAGGCAGAAAGCTACGCACAAGCCACGCACAAGCCTGCAGGAGCTCCACTCACGTTGCAGGTTATCTTCTCCGTGGTACGTTAATTATGCTTCTATCAGCTGGTATCGACCTCGAGCTCTCTGATCGATATCACAGACGCCCATGTCAGCTGGCACGTTAGCTAATACCCATCACCGAACACCTGCATCGCGCATTGCAGCGTGTCAGTGCAACGTGTGGTGACAAGGCAACAATATATGACTAAAATGAATTTCTACTCGGCCGCACTTGTCTTCCTTTCCTCTCAGACCATTACAACTTCAAGACAGCCTCTATAATACTAGGTGCGTTACGTTGGATACAGACAATCGATAAGATGCGACCTCTAAGCACAGATAATGAGCCGCTCTCAACTGAAAATCCTCTCCCAATTGGCTTCGTCGCCTAACGATGTGGCGTCAGGTCTTGCGCAATGCATGGAGGCCTTACGTCTCGTTTCCTCCCTGCCAAGATCATCGCCTATCATGGTCGAGTATTCGGGTATGAAGGGTTCCATAATCAAGGCGTTCGGAAGGGAGCATCTCTCACGTGTGCCGTTCAGGGTGAGTCTCGTATTGTTTCTCGTGACTCACTCTTCTCCCGAGTCCTATTCTCCCCAATGCTGATCGATTCATGCAGACTGTATATGGGCTTGTCAAAGCCTCCATGGAGCTCCCTGACGACTCGCGTATCATGTATGCTGCATTCTATCGCGAAGATGGGACAGTTGATCCCGCAAAGGTACTCATTGATGAAGACTCATGGAAAGAGCTTGTACCATATGTGCATACATTGCATATCGAGGACGATCGTCAAGCGAATTCGGTATTCACCGTACAAGCCTTGTCATCACCAACTGCACAGAGCGCAAGGTCTTCTCCCTCCCCAAGTCCAGCGATGGCTTCCCCAACACGGAGTTTGAATAGCAACGCAAACACTTTCATCCCCAGCAAAAATACAGTGACATTCAAATCGCAGGATGGAACAAAGCTTAACCTACAAGCTCTCAGAAAGGGGATGATCTCCCCAGCATGTATGTCATATCTTTCATTTGAGGTCGCACAGGAAGTTCATGTCAACCCCTAGAACCATTGTGGTTATCGATGAGTCTAGCAGACACGTAATGTTACAATATTAGGTTGTGTGTACGTGACAAAAACTTGCAGAATAGTGTATGGCACGATCCCTGTGGGATCAAGAATAAGATGAGACATCTAGTGTTTGTGAGAAAAGGTTTATACACTCTAGCGAAAGGATGAGAAAATCACTGAGTACCGTACAGGGTATTCTAGAAGGGGTATTACTATTACACAAGGGCATCCCGGACGAGTAATGATACATTAGGACTTGTTTATGAGAAAGGTTTATACACGCTAGCAAAAGTATCGGAAAATTGAATCATTGAGTACCAAAGTCGAGAAGGGTTAATACAGTTTCTAATCTTGTCCGCAGTGCTGTTATGATGACGTACCATTAACGACATGTCTTGTCTCCAAGAAGAGAACAAAGACGTACCGAGTACAGGACAATGGTCTGCAATGTCCCTTAATACACCTAACATCGTCCTTAGGGCCTGCACAAGTCCTTCGCCGCGTACGGGGAATTGAGTTGGCCAGGCCTTTATGCCACGTAAACGTGTGATTTCCGCATGGATCACGAAGGAAGCTTTTATCCATATTATCTGGGAAGCAAAAACTGTCAAGAATTATATACCAAAAGCTCTGCAATCATAACTTACGAGGACAGGATCAAAATACTGCAGTGTATTTACGTTCACGCACTGTAGGGCACGCGCTATGAGCACTGCCGCGGTGACGATTTTGGCATTCGATAAGGTATAGGATTCGCGGAAGGGGCTGTGCAACCGGATGGTAGCGAGAGATAGAAGGGATTGTATGCAAAATGAACGGGGATAAGCAAGATGAGGTGACGAAGGAGTAAGACTCAATCGCGAGGACGATGGTGACGCCTCAGTTGTCAAGGATGGATTAGACGGAATGGATGCTTGTAGGTGTTGTATGAGTGCGTCGAGTGACGCAAATTGTGCTCGGAATGAATGTGTTTCTTGGAACCGTGAATCTGAAATGAAAGGATGTTAGAAGAAGAAAATTGTGTGCCGACTATACCTACCTGATATGTGTTGTTCAACTAAATTGTTCACCTCGTCAAGGAGCACAGCTGCTTTTGCGTGAAAGGCAAGTGCAGAGTCGAAGTCTCCCTTTTCACTCTGTCCATCAACAAGGAACTGTTGTACGGTGTCCACTTGAAGTCCGATTTCCTGCCCACGGCTTGTGAGGTGGATATCTTGATCGAAAGAGTCAACCTCCCGCATTTTTCTAGGCCAAGGGACAGATACCCTAATAGATCTACCGATGCTAGGCGGAACCCCCAGCACGGCGGACACACTCTTGTCCCAAGTGAAGACGTTCCAGAATGCATGATTGGCTTCTGTCTGCTCTATATCGTCGACTACATTTGGAAGGGTGGTCCCAAATATATCGAATGCCACAGACTGCATATCCGCAGGTGTATTTTGCTCTCCTTCAGAAGAAGAATGAAGTCGGAATGCCAGAACAAGACTGGCCGCCGCGCCTGAATGGTACTTCGCCTCGACAGTTCGTCCGACCCGGAACAGGTAGTATGTAAGGAGGACTTCTGTTTGGAGGACATCCAGCAAATCTCGAGTACTCGCGCTGCAGGAAGGGATGATATCAGCCAGTTGACGCAAACATCTTGATAGCACTGTCAGCTCGAAGGCGGATTGCTTCGTATTCGTGATGTGGAGACATAATAGGATAATGGTGTTTTGTAACGCAATCGGAATACCGCGGGAAGAAGCGGTCACAAGCGTGTTGCGTACGCGCGGGATATGGAGGAAAAACCCAAGTTCGTCCGCGTAAAGTAAGATCTTGTCCAAACTGTTTGAAAAATCACAGTCAGTAGACCATATGGACAAACATACAGGATTACTAGCTTACGATTCTAGTACAATTTGTATTGGAGGCTCTTCTTGAACCCACCAGCCGCCCGGGCTGAAATCACCCCATGTGCTTTGAGCACTAGAACTCGACGCTAGAAAACGATGAGACAGTGTGGTTATGGGCTTGTAAATACTTACACGCTCCGGGACTTGGTGCAGAAATATGAGAAGGCTGGAAACCAAATGGGACAGAAAAGCCTTGCGGGACGTCAAACGATGAGTAAGGATCGTGTAGCGCAACCGCAGGCGTAGTGTGCTCAGGATGCTCGAGTTCTTGTATTCGAGCTTGAAGACGTGCAACTTCTTGTTCCAGCATGTGTGTCCGAGACCGGCCCTGGCCATCCGTGTATTCGCAGTCGGCGGGCCTGTTACCACGGACGCATTGACCACACGTCGGTCGGGCACCATCGCACCTCTAGTAAGACAAGTGAGCAAGTTTCAGATAACGCAGGTTGCATCTACGGACGACTTTTCGACGTCTGCATGCAATGCACGCTTTGCCACGTTGAAGGCCTCCGAGTGGATGTAGAGTGCTACTTGAACCAGATGCCATGGCCATTGAAGATAGCGGAGGAAGTCCTTGTGGTACAGAGGTTGCATTGGTATACTTCGCGTACCACAGTTATATACATGTCGGTGAAGACGTCACTCCCGCATGTGAAGTCTCCGGTTCCGCTTAGTACTGTTGACGGCGGTGCGGGGCTCGGTGACTAAGCCTACTTTGCTTGAAGACAAATGTTGTGGCAGTGCTGCATAGTCATTTAGAGTCGGATGGTTTGTGAGCAGACGACCGCGACTGGTCAACATGATCCAACCGTGAGATGACAAAGATCCAACCGTGACTTGGCTGATGCTCCTTCCATAACATGCGAGGAGATACTGTACGGCGATAAACAGTGACTGGTTGCCGCTGTGTCGGGGAGTCCCGGTTCGTGGGTTTAATCGATTGCCGAGTAGCCGGGTCGAAGAACAGCTTCGTTAGCTAAACCAACCGTCCAACTCAAACGTTTAATGTTACAAGATTGTACGGGCCCTCGCAAGTACCGCCGCGCCGGCAGTTATGGTCATGGTGAATGGTTTGTATAGGCTACCTGCGATATTCCTGGACTTTGTTTGAACTTCCCAATCATAAACCTTCAAAATGAACCGAACGCACCTTGGACCAGACTCGAGCGTCAGATGCAGTATGACCACCGGGTACCTCCATCTCTCTGGATCTTGTCCGTCCAATCCACTTTGACCACACGTATTTGATCTACATTTGCCTGCTCTTCCATCAGTAGTAGATGAAAAGTCATTCAGCTCGCAAGTTGGTGGGGTCGTGCAGCACTGCAAGGTGCGTTCTGTTGAATCTGTTCCCGTCACATAACTGCTGGATGTGATGGCAGTGTTTGAGCCTTAGATCTTCCTCCTGTTCGATGGCTTTCGTTTGGGACCGTTTTTGGCCAACTACACTCCATCATGGCAAAGTTTGTCTTTGTTCATGCTGGTGCCTGTATGCTGTTTCAAGATAAAACCTTTTCGGCCAAGTCTCCGTAACGTCATATGATGCTGAGTTGTGAGTGATGACCAGTCTACATCAAAGCAACAATTATAGCTGTTTTGTAACGTGTCAGATAATACAGCATGGGGTTCTGACTTTCCAGAATTGATGAAGTGGTGCGAACCCTACTTTTTAGCAGCCTTCTACGATCTCTTCCACGATCTGGCCTTGGAGTTCGTAAACTACTGCGCGGATTTCACCCTTGACAAGATGTCAACAACTTTCTTGTCGGTAAAATCTTAGCTCACTTCGGCATGCACGTCATTGAGCTGCTGATAAGTGTATGTATAGAGAAAGCAATCTCACCCCGCAGCACAAAGCAGATCAAGATCTTGCTCGTGAATCAGGACGGTACCCACGTCGAATTGACATCTATGTGACTGAATGCTCCAAAGCAGCCAGTTATGCCACTCGAAGCGTTACGCTCATTAATCGTAGAATAGCGTGGAATCGACAAAGCCAATCCCCGCTTTCAACGTATCTTTGATGTCTAGCAACGAGTTTCGGCCGAGATTTTATCAGACACTCTTTTACGAAGTCGGTCATGATTAATATTGCTACGCATGGGAGAGCGGACACACAGATGATGCGTGACAAATAATATGCAGGTCAGTGCGCGCAGACATCCTAGGTGAGTACGTGAGAGTGGAAATACCGATATGCAAGACTGACTTACCCCTAAACGTTAACGTTTTAACCTCCTGCCAGATATTTTTAGATACCCCGACAAAAGTACAGTTTGTCAACTCATCGGCTCCTGGATGAGTGTACTTGATGACGCGCCTTATCGTCCGCAGTGCTGGTGGATACCGGGGAACGTCGTCTATGGATTGAGCAGTGTGAAATCGCATGACAGTAGCTGGTCCCGGAAACGAACGGTCTGATGTGATTCTCCGACGGGGTAGGCATTCACTCTTGCGCCTGAACCAAAACCCGTTTCAGGGTAAACTGGAAACTAGTTTTTCTGGAGGACGTTGGTTGAATAACGATTGAACTTGAAGGTGTTGGATGCGCACTGGGGCTTAATGTTGACGCGGGGAATCTGCAATCTTAGCAAACTTGCTCCCTCTTAAATATTGACTGGGTATCACTGTTCAAACGTTCACGCGTTCACGGTCCACTCCCCAGCAGATGCACATTCTTGGCATGCCAGATCCGACATCGCCAGACAAAGATCGATCTTAGTAAAAGCTGTTCAAATTGCCGCAAAGCAGCCGGAACAGCTTTGTGGCAGAGTTAGTGGCGACGTTTTCCCACACCGCCACAGTTTGGTAAGTCATCCACGCAGTGCACAGTGTGCTGTGTACGGCTACGTTCATCAAAATTACAATTGATCTCGATTCTCAACTTCTCTTAGGCAAAATAATGGATGTCATCACGTTACGTACTTATAATATCAAGCGCTGCAAAACGAGATATAGATGAAATAATCGACGAAGAAGAATCTGCACTCGTCAATATTGTTGCGGATGCTGTACTACTGGTGAGAACCGAGCTGATCCGACAAGAACACATCTATAGACGCACAACGACCATACTTTTGTCGCGCGCAGCTCCTTCCAAAATCCAAATTCACGGACAAGTACTCTGTGGCCAGCCAGAACGATCAAGCCTTCATCAAGACCATGGGTTTTGACGTGAAAAGATTCGTCTTCATGCTCACGTCCGGCTTCGTGAATCGAAGCCTCTTCATATGCCAAGAGTCCGTCGTCGTTCTGGACTTTCATGCAATCTATTGCAATGGAAAGGGCCCTGACATGATCGATATTCGAAGAGATGGTTCGAATACAGAAGGTAGGGTTGGAGAATGAACTTTAATATTGGATGCCCATTGTCCGTCGGTAGTAAGTTAGAACATGAGGAAGCATCGCTGGTCCCTGTGGCGGGCGCTAGCGTCCTGAATCGGGCTTCGAGATTCGGTTCATTACACTCCGTACAAACCCGCAGTGCCTGTAGAAAAAATGCAAGTGTGCGAAAGTACACGATAAATCCGTGAGCACAGGGTATCGAATGGCGCTGGACGATGGAGCCTGCGACGGTAAGATTATGTCAGCGGATACTGCTGGAGTGAGTGATCCTAAAAAGGCAAAGCGCGAGTTTATTCAGGGCAGACCCTGGTAACAAAATGACACCCGGTACACCTTCTTAATCTTTGCCTACCAGTACTAGTGCGGAGATTCAGAGGTCAGCTGGATCAGGCTGCCTCGGCTTGGAGCTGATATGTGGCGCAGCCGAGCCCATGCGGTGAGTAAAGCAGGTGCATTCAACTTTGCATGTGGGAGCAATTGTTCCTATCCCTTAAGGCTCTCTCACTGAATGGGAATAGCCTGAAGATATACATAATTCACAGATCTAAATCTGAAATTCAAACGCTCATATGGTCACCCCGGTGGAGAAAGATCGTAACGTACTTGCAGCAACTTAAAATTGGCAGTACGCTATTATTAGGTGTGGAGGCGTACTTGATGCACAGGCTGACAAGATTCGCAGATACGACATGTACTAATGATCGACCCTGGCATACGTAGGAATTGTGGCTGAGTTTCATCGCGCATTCCCCAGACCAGAAGTTCTGGAACATCTGATCCGCAGATCCGACGAAACTGGAACGGCGGTGCATTATTTGCCCATTAACTCCCACACGAAAGATGACGATAAACTGGTGACGATGTTACTAGTATACACGGGACTTTGATCAATGATTCTTGCAAAGGTAAGTATAGTACATGCAAGTGTTTAAAAGGTGACGCAACTTGAATTATTCCAACCCTAAGTTCATTCCAGCATCATGTCCTATGTAAGTTCCTTTGCCAACTCCAAAGATTTCGAGCTCACGATTACATGCACTAGTCTGCAGAAAACTCTCTTCAGTCTAAACTACACGGTGATGACCTGACACAAGCAGTTGCAAAATCTCTGTATGTACTTCCAACCGATGAACAGGAGCGCAAAAGGTTAGATTATAGCTCGACTTGAACGAAGATTGACAACTCTGTGCATAACAGACTGGCAGTTCAATACGAAGTCCTTCGACACGGATTCGGGGGCCGTGTTGTCTTCGCTCCAATTGAGCTGCACGCAGGAGACAAGGTACTCGACAGCGGAGTTGGCTCAGGTTTGTGCTTATCGGTCATTCTGTTCCTTGATCTGACCATTGGACCACTCATACGACAGCAACCTGGCTCCTTGACTGTTATAACGCCAATAAGGATGTTAACTTCCATGGGATCGATTTGAAGACGAACATTTTTCCAGAGCTCGATGATATACAAAAGCAACGTATACATTTGGGACCGGGGAACATCTTGCAGCTACCGAACGATTGGACCAGCAATTTTCAGCTAGTAAACCAGCGTCTCCTTATCGCAGCGTTATCCAAAGAGATGTGGAACACGGTCGTGGATGAAATCTTCCGTGTCCTTGCTCCGGGAGGCTGGGTGCAGCTCCTTGAAGCTAGTCATTGCTCAGCTGGAGAGGTAACGCAAAGACACTTCTCGATGCTTCAGGATCTCTTCGTCAAAAGAGGTCTATTACTCAATTGCATTGAGCATATTCCGAATGTCCTCAAAAGCGCTGGGTTTGACAACATCACGGCACAGCGTCTTGAAATTAGCCTTGGGGGTGGGGAAGACGAAGACGGTATGGAGGCTAAAGCTCGGGAGAGTTTTATTGGTGCCTACAAGGGAATGCAAACCCCAGTAGTGAAGATGGGGATTCGAACAGAGGGAGAATATGTAAAGTTGATGGAAGATCTGGAAAGGGAATGGGAGACCAACGCTCAGTCAAAGGTTGTCTTCTACACCTTTGTAGCTCAGAAACCGACCGCGTCGGCTTGAGGTCTCGCTCTGAACAGCAGGCTATTTTGTATATATTATTAACACATAGTAGATGATGTTGTATAAGATAAGATCATGGTTAGAGGTATCGTTGAAAGACCATGCGCCACGAGAGCCCGCGACATCAAGAGTTTGCTCAACGACAAAAGCAAAAGTCAGCCAGAAAGCTTCTCACGTACG